CCTCTTCTTGATTTCAGCTACGATTTCCTTAACCCCCGTTTGTTCCCTAATCCACTCTGCTCTCTTCTTGTCTCTTAAGTTTACACCTACCATTTTTCTTTCCATTGCTCGCTGCGTCGTCCTCAACTTAAGCTGAACCCTCTTTGTATGTCTAGCTCCAGGTCTCCGCTCCGTAGCCAAGAACAGGCAAGATGCAGCTGTTATATACATCCCCCTTAGGGGTACTTTTTAGGGTACTTCGACGCAAAAATTTTGGTCTGTCTGTCTGTACATGTGTCTGTTTGTCCGTCGTAACGATACCCCAAACGGCACCTAGCGATACCCCGAACGGCCAACCCCAACTGCAGCGTCCAGCAATATTGCTCAAGTTTCAGCATTCATACTTGTACGATTGTCAATTAAAAAAACAATTATTGCGCATATCTGTGGCACCATAAGAACACGCCAACAATTTGAATGTGTGTCTTTATACTATAAAAGGCATACATAAGTAATTCTAAGGACCGTAGCGTTTATCACGCTGCGCTGACAATGCAACGCGATGCTTAAAAATGAAAGTGCTTCAAACGCTTTGCTAAGACGACACGGTGGTGGCACCTGCCCGTCGATTTGCGTTCCACAACTCATCGCCTCCGAGACAGGCGAGCACGCCTTCCATCGTTTTCGAAGATAACTGCCAGATAGCGCTCGAGTCTAACGTGCCTCGATGCGCTCGTTCACCTTCGCTGCATGGATCGAGACTCTAACTCAGCGCCTCCAGATTACAACTCATCAGACTATCAAATAAACGTTTTGTTCACTCTCTCCAGACGCAAGACTATCGTCTTCCAATGACATCTGCGGTAAAACATGCAGATACGGGGCCAATTTTCTTTCTCTCCTATCGGCCTCTCGTTCGCCGTTCAAGGACTGGCCGCACGCGTACATGTTATCAGGCCCGAGGCGCCCATTCTGTCGTTCGAGAGTGCCATATACTGCGCAATGGTGACAGTCATCGTACACCGTAATGATTGATATGTGGGTATAACGTCCCAAAACCACCGTATGATCATGAGAGACGCCGTAGTGGAGGGCTCCGGAAATTTAGACCACCTGGGGTTCTTTAGCGTGACTCAAATCTGAGCACACGGGCCTACAGCGTTTCCGCCTCCACCGGAAATGCAGCCGCCGCAGTCGGTATTCGATCTCGCGACCTGCGGGTCAGCGGCCGAGTGGCTCAGCCGAGACCACCGCGGCGGGGCTCATCGTACACCGTATAGTCATGATGATTAGGTCAAATGGTAATCCGTCCACATTCTGTATCGATAAATACCAAAAGGAAAGGGCGCTGCCATGGAGCCTCCCCCCCCCCCCCCGTGAAGGAGAATCCTTCGCAAGTTTACGCCTACACTTAAAACATAGCAACGTACTTCAGTTCATTCTCAAACGACACAGTACATCGTCGTCAGGAGCGTAGCAAGAAACTTTTTTCAGGGGGCGCCTCCTTGATTGGGAAAGGGGGGGGGGGGGGGGCGGGCACTGGCTTGGTGTGCCACCCTTTTGCGACGCCCCTGATCGACGTATCGTGTGCTTTCCACAGCTGGATCGCATTTTCTAACATCCAGCACAGGGGCGGATCAAGCCACTGATTTTAGAGGAAACGGAGTCACTTGAGAATATACCAAGGAAAGGGGATGGTCCTGGCTTTTTGCGTCTTCAGTAGATAAACTATCATCACATGAACCTTATCAATGCACAAGTACGTCCTGTTCGTTTGTGCTCACAGTGGTCGCACTAACTTGTCCTAATCTGTGATACGCGGAGGGAAGGGGGGGTGTGATGGCGGTGTCCTCCCCCTGGATTCACCACAAATTAAGCGTCATTTTCAAATAAAATTCACAGGGCACCTAATGCATTCGGTTAAGGCGACTGGAGGAAGTCCATTGTTAACATTTTGTTTCTTTTAGACGCTGCATTAGGAGTAATTACTGTAAAGGTATATAGTGTGACTATAAATATAGATTTTCCCCCGTCTCCTTACTAAGCCCTTCAGCAAATAACGTGTTTCAGCGCTGCCACAAGGATAGAATCGTATTCCTTGCAAGATTTCAGCGCATCTCACGTGGTTCTTCACTGCCTCCGCGATCGGCTCACTTTTGACCAAGCGACTACGTCATGTGATTACGTCCTCATGTGGACTCAGAGTGACGTTACATATTTTGCCTATATATGACGACGTCACCACGGGATTTTCTTACATCACTCGTGCTGACGCCCAGCCTGCGGTGGTGTAGGTAGGGGTTGGCACTCCGAGACTGTGCGCCCCCCACCCCCCAACATTTTATTTTTCTTCATGGTATGCACAGCCCAAAATGATATTCAACCACATGTGCTGGCCCGTGTTTCATGCACTTCAAATCAAGAAGGTGCCCTCCCACCGGTTCAATATATTTTTTTATTACCAATATGATATCCGGAATAAGAGGCGCGCTGTGGAAGACAAACGGAAAGAAACAATTGAAAAAAAAAATAAAACGAAAGCTGCAGCAGTACGAAACGACGGGAAAAACTAAATCGAGGACAGGTACGAAGGCGCTTGTATCGTTTTCTTCTTAACAATGTACACGAGAAACCACCGCAAAGTGCGCGTCACTACAGTGAAAATAAGATATTGCCTAGCTCCAGATTACAGCAACTGAACCAAACGCAATACAGAACCAATAGTGCCACGCAGTATTTGGCGTTCACATTACAGTACTTACTCTAATGCACCTCTAGCACTGCCTCGGTCAACCAACTCAGCCGTTCAGGCGGGGGGGGGTTGTGAAGCGGTCGGAAGTCTCTGCCGCCTCCGAAGCAAGCCCTCAGTGTGCTCTTAAATGTTTCTCCCCGGGACAAGTTGGTCCGATTGACTGACTGCCTGTCACAATTCCATTCCTGTTACAATTCCATTCTTTATAGGCGCGGTACAGCAGTCTACATACCAATGATCTGCCTCAAAGGGACGCTAAGGTTAAAGAAATTGAAGGATGGGATGGAACACGCTTAGCAAGTATTCTTATGTTACGAATATAATAGTCTACCACTATCGCCCAGGAGGGTCCGCGGTATTAACGGTACGTGCTTGTAGTGTGCTACCCCCTGGAGAAAACATTTGTTTTCTGTTCTCGCAAACTGCTTCAGCAGTAAAAAAACAAAAACAAGACGACAGCTCTTGCGAAATTCTGCGCGGCACTACGGAGCGCAGTTCCCGCCGGCAAGTGGACCCGCCCGAAGAATGTGGACACCTTGCAGATAATAGCCGAAACGCATTGGATTAACTTGCATCGACGCGCGCGCCGGCCATAACGAGGCCCGAGCACAAAGCTGAACTCACCGATCGCCGAAGTTCTGGGGCGGTTTGACGAACTCTTGTAATCCATGTTGAAATCGGAAGCACTGATGCCGTAGTGTGAGCTGGTGTCTTCATTTGAAGATTCCAGCCCAGATGCACGAGAATCCTGCGAAACTCGCCGTTTTCGTGAACCGGTCACACGCGACGTCGGCGCCAAATTGAAACTAAGCACGCTCACGAAATCCCCACGTGGTGAAAAAAAGAGAAACACAAAAGCGAAACTGATAAAATGCTTTTCTTTTTGCATGTTAGTGGCGGGAGGTGTCCACAAGAGCTCGTAACGGGGCAAATATTTAAGCCGTAAATATCGACAACTTACTATCTACGGTCATACGAAAGTGTCACGAAGACAGCATACCATGCATACGGCTGACAAGTTCAATATATCTTTATTATCATCAATATAATATCCGGGGAAAAAGGTGCGCCGCAGATGACATCATCACCATTAGAAAAAATAAATAGACAGCAGTACGAAAAGAAAAAAAAAATGCCGACGGGTACACGGGTACATATTTTTTCTCTTTTTACAGGAAACCACCACACAATGCGCGTCGCTACAGCGTGAACATGTCGCAAAGCTACAGGCTACAGTTACTACACTGAATGAACAAACGCGAACAGTGCTATGCAGGAACCGACGCTTATATTACAGTACTTACACAACGCACTCTCTATGCGCGAATAACAGCGTGCACAAAAAAAAAAGACAAAGCATTCAACTTCACTATGACCATATTTTGGAGAGTGCACTTTGTCTCGCAAAAAATATTTCTAAGAAAATTCTGCAGCACGAATTCACACGTTGCAAAAAGCAAATATATTGTCCAACCAAGTTGCCTCGACCACAGATTAGCAGAACTAATTTTTTTTCAATACCACAAGACACTGCCTTACATCGAGGACCTGGGCAAAAAATGAACGACACCCCTCCCCCCCCCCCCCCCCCCCGAAAAAACAAGAAAACACACACACTTCCTTTACCTGTCACCACCTCACCCCACTTTCCCAAAGAGCAGACATGCTGAAACAGCACGATCGCAAGTTGGGGGATGTCTATCATGCAACAACTAAAAGTGCAACAACCTTATTTTGCCATTAGTTAACCTCGCTGCATTGTTTTGCTCCATGAAGAGGGGCAGACATAGTCAAAGCATAAGTTCTGCACCTCCTTGCGACCCCCAGGAAATTCAGGTGACATGGATATGCCCCCACACCCAGTCAGTAGAAAACGCTAGTGCCACCTTTCGTTTGTCTCTTCCTTTCCCTCTGTACACCAGGGGCACATGAAATGAGGTGCAATAGTCACGCAGTTATTTCCCAAAAGCCTTTGGGGTGAGCGTGCCCCTTACCTGAACATAAAGGGGCGTACCTGCTCGGGATGAGAAAAACACTCTGTGAAGAAGAGTTCTTGGTGGGAAAATCTTCATGCACGAATGCCCAATGACCGTATTTACTAGCACCGTGGCTGACCTTTCTCTTTTCTAGAAACATCATTTGTAATAGGCTATCAACATATATTCTTGATCAAATCAAGCAAACGTAACGAGCTAAGGGAGCTCCACTGCCGTGCCCACCATTTGTAGGTATCGGTCGATCTATGTTCAAATCACTTTTCTTTCTCGGAGAGTGCAGCATATTGGAGTCAACATACCGGGCGTTTTAAGAAATGTGTCCAATATCGTTTAAAAATCGGGAAAAGACGCTATTTAAATGCTCGCTCTCTTCCCAGTTGCTTTTTCTGTAGCGGCAGATATTTCAATATGGTTGAAGACATAATTTGAAACAGTAATTAGGAAAATTGAATTAATTTACCCTTTTAATTAGTGAAGTTAGGTCGTTAAGTAATATGAGAGAAGTGAAGTTCTTGATGCGCAGAGCCCATTGCCACTTTGAGATTTCTGAAAAGCGGCTTTTAGTAATAACTATGAAATAAGGAAATTATCCTAAATTCCGTGGCAAAACTGAATCAAACAATCGACGAGCACAACAAGCAGACAGTTACAATGAGGTCACTGTTCAAAACAGTGGTTACAGGGGTGCAGTTTTTTCCCGTTAACGTATGTGCATCATACGCACTGTAATTGCCAGTGCAGCCCACACACCCTGACAACAAAGTCGGTTGATGGTTGATATAACAACGCTCCCCAATTTCAGTTGCGCTCTTTCGTGTTACGGTTTCACCGCAGAATTTGAGAAAATTTCATTAATTTGGAGTTCTTACAAGAGGCCGCTTTTCCAAAATCTCAAAGTGAAGATTGGTTCTTCACATGAAGGACTTCTACTCTCTCATTTGACTTGAATGCTGAGCTCCACTAATTAAAAAGTTAAATTAATTTATCTTTCATAATTACTGTTCAAAATGATGTCTTCAACCCTCTGAAGATGCCTGCCACTACAGAAAAAAACTGTGAATACAGCGAGCAAATAGCGTCATTTGCCAAATTTTAAACAATATTGGACACATGTCTTGAAACGCCCTGTAAATCTGGGCTGAACCTAAGTGCGAATAAATATGGTAACGAATTCTTGACGCATGTCAATTGCGTTCTTTTTTTCTCATAATGAAGGTAGTACAGCCTAAACAAATTCAGAATGTTCTAGCCCACTCAGTTTGGCCATGTCTGAAAAGAATATAAGAGTGCACTGTAAAAAGTCATGGATAACAGTATTTGTCAGCCTCATGAAGGAGCAAATCGCAGAATTTTCTGCATTCCTACATGCCCAGTTAGTCAACTTATCAAATGCTGAAGCACAAACACCTTTGAAAAAGCAATGCACCCTCAAAGTGCCCATCAGGTGAAGGGAAGCTTTGCATGATTGCGATACAAATTTTGTGCATGCAGCGTCATAACATGCTGTACACATTTTGGGATCATTTTTGCTGGAAAACACCAGTCCACAAGAACAAACGTTATAAAAAATTGCAGCTATCAACATTGGTTTCGGTCAACATGAATCAGCTATGCGGACAACTTGCAACGTTCTCACAGCTGGCACCTTGCACTGTGCTACGGAGATAATGAACCAAGATGGCGGCAAACTTTCTAATTGTTCTGGTGAGAAAACAATATGACAGCCTCAATGTCATCAGCGATTGCTAATGTAAGAAAGTCTATTCTTACTTTTTAGCCAAAATGCACAGAAGCAAACAGAGCCGATTCCTTAGACTACCGCCATCATGAGGCAACAGTCCATGCATCTTTTTCTGCGTATTTCACCCGAGCGTCCCAAAATAAAAGGAAGCATGCAACGCATGAACTGGGCGTACCGGCACACTCGCCATTAAAAATAAAGAAAGGAACACACAGGCAGCAAGCACCAATTAAGATCATGCATGAAACTCTAAGTACATAAGTCAAGCCACACACAAGATGATGCACGTCATGAAGCGACGAACGAGGCAAAAGATACTGTCTTGCTCAAATAGAAAACTTTAAAGGAGCTGACCATGTCACATTCTGCAGGGTTCTACTCGTCATCATCCTTCACATGACTTTAGCCTTTTGAAAATTTTTATTTTATGTGTGGTGCGCACTTATCTCTTGAGGTATCAAATTAAGTCGCCATGTAGAATGCACAAGGTCTGATATGTTGCCGTGACTAACTTCTATTAAATAAAGCCTGGCAGCCTAGCATTAGCTGCAAAGTATACAATTACACAAGAGCAATTATAACAGCAAGTCCCCTTAAACTTACTACATTCATAGTGTCATCAAGAGTTTCACGAAAGACAACAACAACGATTAACAGTGTAAACTGAGCTGGGAAACAGCTCCGCTAGAGTTAGTACAACCCACAGTTAGCACTTCAGTGAAAGACACTCAACGTAAATTACATGCCCCAAAAGTCTACTTCAGGCGCTAATGGCAAAGCAGCACGACATAAATGATTGAACTGCCCCAAAAGACCCAGCATATGTGGGTCGCTGACAGGAACGGTTGCTTTGAATGGTCATGAAAAACTCAACACCATTCATAGGAACTGGAGCAATGCCAAGGTTCAATGCCACTGAGAGAAGAGAGGAAGCCATCACATAAGCAAAGCAGCAACTACTGCCACAACCAAAGAGATCACAGTCTGTTGGAAACAGACAACAGAAAGAACAAAATCAGAAAAACAAATAACAGCTCTCGAAAGAAGAGAAATGAACAGCCTCGCGCTTAGATGAACACTCACCCGAAAACATGTTTGCCTGTCTTACAAGAATCCCAACGCAACATATGACACCCAGTGTGACTCAACACATATTGCTTTTGAGCAATCTAAACACCGGACCAGATCGCGATTTTTGCAGGAGTGAAGCAATTTCCTTGGCACTATGACACAGTTTGGATATGCTTGCTGCTGTTTCAATGGAATGCAATGCTAACATCTTCTTTAAAATGGCTCTACAAACACAGGTGCAGAGCCAACATGACATCCACAGCCTTTGTTGCCATCCACTGACATGGTGAATTCAACATCTGTGGTACAGTTAGGATGTGGGGAACCTAACATTCACAATACAGACGACATCAAGTTCCCACATCCCAACTGCACAGCGGATGTCAAGTTGCATGTGCAACTTCCATGCACTAAGCTCACTACAGCCGTTGAATGTAATTTATGAGCAAGTAACTAGAACACAAAAACAGAGATTGTTTGTCGCTGTTGCGACCTTGCAAGTTCGGTTGAACTTGCACATCGTCATGAGCATTGCGGCAGCAAAACAGCACTGTTTGTGAACAAACACAGCAAAGCTTAAATTACACATTCTGTGGCATAACATTTCCGAGTTCATAGTGCCATCCCATTTGCAAATGCTGGTAACAGAATGCTCAAGGGTGGCAACTCTGTTGTACATAAACATCTTTTGAATTTCTTGGAACAAGACTTTACAGCAATACTTCCACATGCATGAAAAGCACACTCGTTAACACCTGCAGTTTGTGAACATAGATATTCCAGGAACCTCGATGTATGCCCAACAATGGCAACTTTTTTTTTGTCCCCTAGTGACAATTTAAATGTAGCTGTAACTCTGAAAACAACCCAACTATGTTAAAATGCTTTGCTTAGTTGCACTAATGTTTTCCAAACAATGCAAGAAATATTATATTAAAGCCTTTTTGACACACCACACCAACGAACAGAACTTCAGCATGTCTTTTTAATGACAAAAACCAAAAGCTCTGCTTTGAAAAATGAAAAAAGAAGCGGTAGGACAACTGAAGAAGACCATTTACTGACAAAGTGTCTTGTCACCTTGCCATTCTTTATAATGCCACTTGATAATATGCCATTTGATAACCTTGGAACTCCAGCCTAAGTGTGGTATCACGTAAACTTTTACAGAGCGGTCTATTTGTACCAGTCCATGCTTATTTGGCGAGTTTGATAGCAAAAGTTACTATTGACACCGATCAGCCATCTATCAAGCACTGTTCAATCAGAACAGGCCAAAATGGCTTGTCCGGCTGGTGGGCTTCTAAAGAATGCTGGTTGAGCTTAACATCCTAAATAGCGCATATTATTGGAGCATTTCTGAAGACTTGTCGAGGTTTGAAATTGCGGTCATAAAAACCGGTAAACCTTAAATCATGCAAAGACCAACATTGTTTTTTTTTTCTTTTCAGAGTCATTAAGTTGGGCTTTTTAAGAAACATCGTGGCACACTATCAGGCAAAAGAGAGGGTCTTAGATACAGACTGGTAAGGAACATCACTAAATAGAGATTAAAAAAAAAAAAAGCCCAGAAAGTTTTTGAAGAGAACTGCATAGAAATACCTGCTGTGTTTGCCAACTGCCTATGATCAAAGAATGCAAACGTACATAATTTTAATTTGCCAAATAACAGACTGTAACAAGATGTAGCTTCACACACACATAGATTAACACTTTTATATTTATTTAAATAAATAAGTCTTATAGCCATCTCGCTACGGCCTACATTTTCCAAATAGATACTTTTCTGTTACATTTGAGTCATGCTTTCTCGCAAACTAACCAAGTCTTCCGAACTTTGGCTCATTTTCATTATTTAGAAAAGCTTCACAAACGTTTTCATCACATGTATATCTTTGGAATGACACCACAATGCTGAGCAGGTGAGCAATATTTTTAAATAGACACCTTTCTTTCTTGTAGCAACCAAGTTTCAATTTTTCTATTCATGCACTCTGTTCAAATAAGGCTGTTAGGAAATGTACAAAACTAAACTTTCTAACCACACCTCATAAAAAATGGAGGAAAACACGTAATTCGTCTAAGTTACTTACGACTGACAATGGCCACTATTGTATCGTGCTCGCGGTTCGCACCCAAAATAGAAGTCGCGATGCTAAACCCGCAAAAGTGAATAGTGGCATTAACAAAAGTAATCCCAGGTGTGCTCCGACACCGCTAAAATTGCTCAAGTCATAGAAGAGTCCCGTAACACAGAGAGTTCAAAAATAATTTTATCCAGAAAATGCCATGCAGAAAAATTTGCCTACACGTCAATGACGCTATATTTGAACTGGTGCCAAACAGTTCAATTTTTTTTGCAGTTAAGCGTCCTTTCCCACAATTTTACAATGACATCAACAGCTGAAAATCACTGTTGACTCGTTTACGAAAACGTACACTCCAAGGACCTCCCCTAACTTCTATACCCCCTAAGTTTACAATGCGAACAGGCTGTTTTCTGCTTTTTCGTCCCGCTCGACACGATTCCGCGACGGTGGAGGTGCAGGTGGCATAGTTGGTCCCCCGATGGATGTCACCGTCGTCGTCGTGGAGGACGCGGTCACCGGAGGAAGCCGTTCCGCAGCAGCTGCTCGTTCTGCCAGGAACCGGTCAAACTCTGAAACGCAAAAACACGGGAGAGATTGCAAGTTGGGAGGGAGAAGAGATAATACAGATTGCTATGGCAACTAGAATGTTCACTAAAACTGAGCACTGGACCAGTTGTTGCAGCCCATTTAGATGTTTTCTCAGCACAAGAAAGATGCACGACATGAAGAACAATGCTGTGCGCACTGTTTTCATGTGTTCCTTGCGCTGGGACTGCACTACAATGGGCTCGTAGTGCATCGGTGTTTCACCTCTAAAAGCAGCATTTGAACCACACATGCCACTGCGTCACCACTGAATCTTCAGCACATCTCTGCTTCAAAGAGGTCCACAATCCTTCATGTCCATTCACCTGCAAGCCACTTGCGTTGAACATAGCATTCTTTACAAGTCAGTCAACCACTTAGGCGTGTGCAGGGAGGGGGGCGAAGTCAATACGAGGAGCTGATTTTGCACCCCACTCCTCGAGTTGTCGCCTCCATATTTCTTTATCTATAGGGCCGACTTCGCAGCTCCCCTCTAAGGTGAACAAGGGTCCACGCCCCCTTCCCCCTACGTGCTCATGCCTATGATCACCCACACTGCCGTTTGCTCATTTTCTACATCTTTTTTCTGTGAACAGCTACAGGCTAGTACATGGTATAAATCACCTGATTATGTGCATTAGCAGATGCCTCACTGGGTCAAGACCTTAAATAATAAAAAATAAAAGTATATCAGCATACTCATGCATATACAGTCAAACCTGGGTAACTGAATTTGAAGGTGATCGCAATAAAAGCAAATATGTCGAACACACTACATAAAAAATTTTACAGACTGAAAATACAGACAAGGGGACATCACAATGGCTTGATATTCACAAGAACTAACATCCCTCATGCATTCGACTAACACCACTTGAAATTGAAAACCATCTTTTTTTCCTCTCAATTGATGTGTCATTTATCGTCCTGTTTATAATGAAAGCGACACTGTCATCCTACAATCTGATCTTTCTTTGATTCAATCATGGTGCGAAAACTGGCTGATGTCCCTTAACATAAAGAAAACCTGTGCTATTTCTTTCCATCGCCGACAATCTTATTCCTCCAAAAATACTTCCTGTTTGATTCTGAAATTACAGCATCTACTTCATGTAAATACCTCAGTATCACTCTAACTTCAGATCTCACCCGGTCATCCCACATAATGAACATCACTAATGACTCAAACCGAGTTCTTGGCTATCACCGAAGAAACTTACGACTAGCCCCGCCTTCTGTTAAACTTTTAACCTATCTAACACTGGTTCACCCGAAGCTAGAATACGCATGTGCAATCTGGGATCCCCATCAAATCACCCTTATTAAAACACTTTAATACATCCAAAATCGAGCAGCCAGATTCATTTATTCGGACTACTCCTATCACAGTAGCCTCACCGAGCTAAAATCTCGTGCTAACATGGTTAACTTAGCTTCGCGCCGCAAAGTTTCAAGACTGTGTTTGTATCATAAATTTTATCATGCATTTCACCTAAACCAAGTTATCGTTCCAGCTCATCGTCTTTCATGCCGTATCAGCCATTGGAAAGCGGTTAATCCATCCCGTGTGCGTACCACTGCCCATAACTCTTCATTTTTTGTGCAAACATCAATAGAATGGGACAATATTCCTGCTGACATCGTGCACCACTCCAGCATCGCCCATTTCAAAGAAGCCATCAAACAGTAGGGTTGAGAGCTGGGCTAGTTGGTGAGACATCATTTAACCATATGGTGTAGTAGCGCAATTTTCACGGGGACAAAGAGAGTGTCGTGTGTTCTTGTTCTCTTTGTCCCCGTGAAAATTGCGCTACTACACCATATGGTTAAATGAAGCCATCAAACAAATCATGTGTTTGTGAACTGTATACCCCCTCATGTAACACCCCTTGAATGGGGCCCTTGAGGTATTATAAATAAATAAATAAATAAATAAATAAATAAATAAATGTATTGACACTGCCTAGCCACCCACACGATGCTTCCTGCACCTAACGCCACTTTGCACAGCGATTGGCTTGCCTTTGACTAAGTGATAATGTCATGCGATGATGTCATGATGCGAAGTCGCGTTATGCATCGTCAAGATGCTACATCACAACTTTTGGTGATCTGTTACATCACGACAATGTATGATGCCCTCGACATGTGATGGTAATTTTCTACCCCACTTGCATTGATGCTGTCACCAACAGTCGATTTTTATGAGGTGTAATGAGGCATCTAAAAATTTCGCCTAAATAATTGGTTATGTGTGGGTTTGATACATATGAATTTCACTTTATATTTCCATCTATTTATATTCTCATGCTTCTTCATGGTGTACTTTTAAGTTTTTTGCACTTGTATACAGACATAAATCAGTGCAATGATCAATGTTCTTTCGTTACACCTCATCTTACAGCACTCTTTCCTGAATGTAATTGTAAACCAGTTAGCCCAACCCTTGTGATGTAAATCTCACCTCCTATGTAACACCCTTGCAGCCAGGGGTTCCAAGGAAATAACATGATTATGACAAGGAACTAAGAACATGAAAGGTTGTCACGTACTATTTAATCAATTCTATGAAAGTATACTGCAAGAATGAAGAAATCAGATATAAACATACTTTTCAACAAACAGTTAATTTGTTCATTCTGTCCAGACTTGCTCTTGGCACTACACTGAGGCCTTGATACAATTAACCCGGATATAACAAAATATCGGTCATAACAAAGTAAATGAGAAGTAGTCTTGTAACAGATACAGTGTTGGAAATATACATTCAGAACAAGTTTTCGGAAATAACTCTTATTTTTGTGTAAAATGCAACTTTGTTATAATGAGGTTTGAGTGTATTCCATGTTTATGAGCTGACCAGAAAAAGACTACGTGTCACAATTTAAAGGAAACTATTGCTCTAAGAGAGGTTTTTCGACGTTCTGTGTGTACCACCACTTGGAAACCGGAAGGAATATTGAGACTCATTTACCTGTGCTGGTAATTGACTCCTGTCCAGTCTCAGATGGCTAAAGAAGAAAAAAAAGAAGAAAAGAGAGGCACACAATAAGAACCTTCAATCCTACTGCCTGAGCTCATTTCTACCTCTTGTGCACAAATTGTTGTTAATTAAAACTGACACCTTTAGAAATTGAATCTTTCTGCTAGACTGTGTAAACAGAAACATAGCGAGCTATCTGAATATGAATAGAATATCCTCATTTGCACGGGAGATCACTGATCCAACTGGTGTGATTTAATGTTCACCCACACATCAACTGTCTTCTGAATATGTAATTTGTGTGTACTAGCACACAGCAATTCTGATTTATAAAACTGTGTGGCTAGGCTGTACAAATATCTATTTTTCCGATTTTGCAAACTAAACAGTTTCCATTCCACATGTACATTATTAGAATCAAGGTTCAACTGTACCCTAAATACATTCCATGCCTTACATTCAGCATTCTCTGAAAACACATGCTTCATGCAATCTCACGAGACACATGCAAATATACATGCTACGAAAATTAACATCCTTTTGCACATTGATGCTTAATTACTCTTGCTTTGTTAATGAACACCTACCTTTTCCCTTAGCCACTCTTCCATCTCGTCAAAGTCTCTTTCTCTGTGGCTCTGTCATGCAGAATTAAAAACAGTGACAACAAAATAAAATAAAAAATCAAACGAGAGAACAAAAAAGGATGAGGAAAACGGCCAACAGCATGCAAGAAATACCTCCACGTTTAAGCCCAGGATGGCCACAAAAGATGTCAGAAAGCTACTGACATGTCTATGTTAGTAGTAATGGTAAAATTTACCCACATAATATTTCTGCACTCAATTACAAGCCTCAGAAAGTGAACTCTGTTTTAAACATTGTACACACTCAGAGTTTGCCCGATACTAGTAAATCAGGTTATGTTACCCTTCCTTCCCCAATAGAGCTTTTTCTTGGCCAAGAACAATAATGTAGTTTTTTTTTATTTCCATATTTAAATTGATGTGTCATAGAACAAATAAAAAAAGATGTTTTATTGGCTACATACAAGCAAAACATATTTCTTTAAATATGTAGAGGATTGGCTTCATTGCACTGCACCATGAAAAGTGCACCGATATCTCCAGCCTATGATGCACGAAGTGTCTGTGAAATTTTAAAAGTAAAGTGCAGGGACAATAAGCTTGTGAAAAGAACCTTGGACACGGCAATGGGTGTTGGTTTACCTCTATTGGCATCCACTTCAAATATGTCAAGAAGTTGCCATATCCGAATCTGATGATTTCGAGAAAATGTGCTCCTTTGTGGTAATGGCCGCCACATTACCGCAAAACTTAAATTTTTGTCGACTACACGGAACTGTGGCAAGCAAGCATTCTTTCTCTTTTTCCTGAATCTGATGTTGCCGTCACATGCACACCGCTTGTGCACAGAGAAGGATTCCATTTTCCAATTCCAGCTATCAGAACAGAGTTGTTTCTTGACCAAACTACATGCTTTGAGTGTGTTCTTAAGTTTTCTTTTTTTACTGTGCCATCTGTTCAAACGAAAGAGAACTTGGCAAACTGAATCAGGGTAGATTGATCGCAGCACCCGCGAATGCTTTTTCCAGCACTGACAAGCTCAGCTTGCCTTCAGCAAAGAAAGACTGGTTTACTATAGTGCAATGAGCACTCGGCAAACGCTATACATGTACTGTTATAGTAATATCTTACAAGCATATTCCTGCATATCAGACTATTGATCACGCTACAAAGAGAATCTAAATCGACAGGCTTTCTTTCTTTCTTTCTTTCTGTCTCTTTATTTCGCAGAATAAAATGAAAACATTAAATTCTGGATGGTCTACTGGTCTAAAAGCTGTAATGAAACAGCTTGACTAAATATATCTACATTACCCATGGTTAGTTCACATTCGAATTACTATATCAAATGCAATTAGTACAGCTGTGCAAATAGTAAAATTTTGGATGGAAACAAAAGTCAAACATTGAAGTGTGAGTGTGAATGGAATAGAATATTTTTCTGAATTTCTCTCTAATATTTTTTGAATATTCAAAAAGAAATTACAGGGAAAAAAAAGTGGTAGAGGATTTCAAAGCATATTCTTATGAGATAGCAGAGTGAAAGTGTTTCTTTTGACTAGGTTGATGGAGCGCTGGCAAGCTAGTGATTCATAGTTATCAAGAGTGAGACAATGCAGAGGCCGAAAAAAGTATTTATGTCAATGTTTCAGTGCAACCAAAGCGTTGCCAGCAACACATTATTATGTGAAAGGACTTTCCACTTGGACTAAGATGTGCCCCCTTTGAGTCTGTAGTTTCAAATCTGCCTTGTAGACGTCAATATACAAGAACATCTGAAATTTCGGATGCTAGAAATCTTTGGTATCCAATTTTTCACACTTCTCGCCCATATTTTATGTAGAAAACAGCTTTAATTCAATTCCCATTTCTGCCACATCTGTCGTCTCCATGTTGGAACCAGCGTTTCTTTGAATAAATAAATTTGCGATAATAGCAAAGCATAAAAGATAACTTTGCCGCAATACAAATGTGCAATGCGATGAAGCACACAAAAATCTGAAGGGGGCTATTGCCAATTAGACATTGACTGTATTTGGCTTGAGGATAGCTCAAATAGTAATTCTAGAGCGAAACCAATTGAATAATAAGCACTATTTGACAAATATATTCAAAATTTCAAATACACTCACACCTCTAGTAGTTTGCACACAATTAACTAAAACCTTTTCGAGTCACCTGAAGTAGACAAATTCGAAAACGCAATCCATTTAGCCATTTTAGATGCGAAGCGGATTCTTGAATAGCCATACATATGCACCGCAGGTGTTGGCGTGGTGTCAAGTAGGTTACGACACTGCAGCGCATTGACGTAACGCACCCCTCGCAGTGCGCTGCCGCCCCGTTCGTTCACCCGCGACACCTGCCCCGACGATTGCTCGCTACACCACCGACTTGTCAGTTCATGCGCAATAAACCATCCACCTTGAACGTACGCATTGAAACATGTCTGTACATGTCACCTACACGACCTACGGCAGCCATTGCTTCAAACGAATCTTCCAGCACTCACCGCAACACCCGCATTAGCGCCATTCAATCCGTGACGCCTCCCTTGTGCAACGCTGCTGCTTTGTACCCCATCAAGGTTCCCTTCAGGGAGATGGTCTAAGTTTTTTTTAAACCTACACTTTAGTACTGGAATTCTTTCTGAAATTAGACTATAACACTGTATTTACTCGCATAATCCTCGCACTTTTTTCGGCGGAAAACCGATGCAAAGTTGGGGGGTGCGAGAATTACGCGGGAAGAACTTTTCACGTAAACTTACAGTGCGAAAAAAGTAAAACGAAGTCTCCGCAAATCGAGATTCTCACACCAGCAACTAACAGCAAGCTTTGAGAAGTACTAATTAAAACTTACCTCAACAATAAAAGCACTGGTTCAACACAAGGCAAGATTTATTTGAGACACTAAATGTGCAAGCAAATAGTCGAGAATTAGAATATCATACGCAAAGCTTGTGGGTGTTGTGGCCGTAGCGGTAGCATTCATCGCTTAACAGGAGCCCTCAAAAGGTAAGTGTAGGACGTCAGTATTGGGCTGATGGCTATTAAATAGAATCGTCCGCAGTTTCCTTCTGAAGAAATAAAGTTTATGATCAATCCCAGTTTTAGGCACACGGGAGATCCAACGCATCTTGGTGGCTTTCAGCTGTCGTCACCAGTAGCGAACACAAAACTCGTAGACTCCGAAGCGCCTACCGGCGGCCATCTTGTTGTTGTTTAGTACATGATCTATCACCTTCAACTTGAAAGCAGCTGTGTAGCTTCAGTATCGCCCCATAACGTGACAAGATTACCAACACAACATACAAAACACGCCGCAACGCGCACTTGCCACTTTGGCTTGGCTTGGATTGAATCTCCACGCAGTAAATGTGCTTGATGCTTAAGAGATGGCGTCAGATGACGGGCTCTATTATCATCAGTGGCTGGAACGAGCAGACGACATTATTGCGGCAGTTTTTGGGGGTGCAATAACTACGCGAGGTATTTTTGTTGGGCGATGTGGGGGGTGCGAGAATTATGCGAGTGCGAGGATTAAGCGAGTAAATACGGCAGTTACCACTGACTTTGACTTTGCTTCAAACCGAAAGAATTGATACTTGCACAAGCTTAACTCTATGTCATAACTACAATTATATATAATTACAGTACCAGTAACACCCCACGTGCTTGACATGGTGGCTTTCAGTTGATTTCTTATATTTTATCCTTCTCCATTGAGTGGCAGTTTAAGAAGCTGCTGCACTCTGACAGGCGCGTCAATGTAAGCAGAACAAAAAATTCGAAGAAAGGAATGAGTGACTGCAACGCAAGAATAATCAGCGTACAACCCACACCAAGTCTCACCTCATGAAGAGATTCCGCTTCAACCTGGATGCCACGGAGGGAATCGAGAGTAGACATGGAAACAATGCAACAAAAGGCCAACAAAAACACATTGCACAATGACAATAAAAACATGACAAGAAAGCTACGCAAAAGCCCAAGCCAACAACCAAAAGCAAGTCCCGATTCCATGCACAGCACACTTCAATACTCAAATCGTGCAAAAGCTGCATTTAGCCACACCGCAGTTCAAAAACAAGCCTAAGCAGTGTAGGCCCATTCCCACTGTCTAGGACTTTGTTGCTGTTTAGTACTTTAGGAACCTGGTGTGCATATTCTATGCCTTGCAATTGATGCATTACAATAACAGAACTGATTAATTGAATAAATGTAGCTGCCAAAGCTTCAGAGTGTTGTATATGTGAAATTCACAGTACAGTACAGTCGCCGATCGATTTTTCGGACTCTGAAAAGTCGGACTTTTTTGATATTTCGGTCTTAAAAGCACCGGCAGGGTTCCCCTAGGACTAATGCATTTTATGAACCAATTTTTCGGACAAATTCGACCCCGAAAGTTGGATTTTTCGGACTAAATCGCTTGTTTTGAGCCAAGCCACGGAATATTACAGACGCCACCATGTTGGATTTTCTGCCGGCTTGACTAAGCTTAGTGGCTTAATTTTTAAATGGCTCTCATGCCTCCGAGATGGGAAAGCGAATATCATATTTCAAGTTTCGGAGGCCGTGTCTGCTTTAGAAAACATAACACGGGACCATTTTTTCGTCTTCGGTCAGCCATAGTGGTCAGCACTGTCATCGCACTGTACAGGGAGGAGGCGGAGCTGCGCAGTGGTGAAGTGAATGTATGGTTGTAGTATGGTCCCTAGAATAGTGAATGTGCCTGCCACGATGACATTTCTCGCTCGTGCGTACGATGACAATTTTGTGCACAGAGCGCACAGACGAAGAAATTCTTCGCAAGGTTATGCCGCAGCCGGAGAGCGGTTCGGATTATGATGATGATCGCCCGCAGCCGTCGGCGACGGAGATCGCCAACACGGTGAGGCTTTTGTCGAGCATTTACGGTGATGATGTCACCTTGGTGCAAATACGGGCAAACCAAATTGCTTCTAAGCATAGTATCAGGCAAGGCAGAACCATGGACTTTTTTTTTTTTAAGCCTGCTGATGCAATAAAGTTCCTATTTCTGACAAAAACGAATTTTTCGGACTGTTAGATTTTTCGGACTTTTTTTTTTTGATCCCCACAAGGTCCAAAAAATCGGTCGCCGACTGTAAACTGACAAAGACACCAACAGATATAAAAATGATTACACACACAGTACTGCCGTGAATGCGTCCCTTGGTTTTTATACCGCCCTCCACCTTTGTTAGTTTTATGCACTGTTTATCCCTATGCTTATACTCAACTACAGATGATACTCAACTACAGATTGGCTACAAATTCAACGTCTTTTTTGCTGATGAACTGAAGTGAATCAAACAAAAATAATAATAAAAATACACCAGGTAATGTCCAGCTTGAGTTTGAGAAGCTTGAATAAAGATGACTTTTATAAAGTAATACAAAGTGTGATAAAACCACAAAAGTTACTCAAATAAATAATGTTGCTGCTTTGTAGCGAGTCCTATTCTCGGCTATTTAAAGACAAAAAAATACAGCAATGAGTTGATACTAAAAATGGGCCTGACACATTGGTTGAACACACCTTTCGAAGAGTACAGTTGCTCTTCAGTGCAAATGTGGTTTTGGTTTGTGCAATATTTTCTTTATTTCTGTGCAGATGTGCTGCATTTGGGGTACCTGCTATGATTTCTTATCTATTTTGATTTCAAACAAGATTAAGAAACTTGCATAACACGCACCGCTTTTCTGCTTTTACAACTGGACGCATAGAGGGATGATGCCCGAGTTATGAAACTGCAGAATCGTTTTCATTTTTCTAGCTTTAAATAGCCACTTTTAAACAATTACACAGTTATATTTATCTAAAATGCATATTTAATGCATACTTTTAGGTACGTATATTGCAAATTCGAAACAAGCCTCAGAAGCGAGGATCGTGTAAGAAAAAAAAGAAAACGTACTTCAGAACTATGTAACATGTCGTGTGCCACTTCTTCGCTGTGTACACACATTTAAAAAAATTATACATAATTGAACTTATGTCATTCAGGTGAGAAAGAACAATGCTAGAGGTGCCACGCATGCTTCACGCTCTTTGCCATCTGTTGAAGAACCTTTGGTACTAACATATAATACCTTACACGAGACAGCACTAGATGTTTCACGCTGAAAGCTACACTCCCTGCGAGTACTTGACAGCCGACATTGAAAAAGTGGCATGCATTCTGTGACTAGCTTGCTCAGAGTGTTTCAATATGTCGCAAGCTCGCAACACTCGATAGTAAGGGGCGAAGGAGTATGGTTCAATGTCAGAAGCGAAGTCTGGCAGTAATAAAATCACACTCATTCAGTATAAATCCTGAATACAGCTTATGTTCACCCTAGCCAAATAAAAAGCAATTAGTATCATTCTCCATATATTAATACTGAAAAATCTGCAAGTTATCCAACAGGAAATGTCTAATTATGTCTAATTACACCTCTGTTGGCAAAGAAACCTGCCTGAACTATGAGAACGCTCAGCAGACAGCAACTATGTAATCAAAACGATTGCTCTACCTGAAGATCTTCTCATCCAGGCTTATCCAAAGTCTACACACAGAGCTCCAAGGCAAGCAAGCAAACGTAAGCACACACACACTGCTAGATGCATAAAGCTTTTTCACTGACGTGTCGCATACGCAGGCATGAACATCCTTGAACAAGCATTTTCAACCATGCAAACAGCGAACCGGAGGTCACAATCCAGGCTCGCTTCCACTCACCTTCTGACCCCTGACTTGGGCGAGTGCGCCAAGACCGACCGCAAGCTGGTCAATGCTGGTGTTGTCGGCGTATGTGCTGCCACTGCAGGGGCATAAGGGTGAAATGAAACTAAAATTACTGACAATTACGACAAAAGTTTGGCAGGTTGGTAGAAATGGAGAGCTTTCAATGTGTAGCAGAAACAAAAAACAGGAACAAGAAAGAGACGTAGACTGGACAAGCGCTTTCTTTTTTATTCCCCACTCATTCAAAGTCGAAATTTGTCAATGCATTCAAGCTTAACAGCTCCAACCTGGAAGGTTTGATCAGGCAAATACAGCCAAATACATAGCTTCCATATTCTATGACACAACAGTTATTAAAATGCAAAAAAAATAGTGTGATCTCCATCCACAGAGCACCTGCATTTCACCAGAGGTCAACAGTCGTGCTAGTTGGTTTCTGCTCGAACCATAAGTGCCTTTCTTTAGCCAATGCAAATGCAGACAAACCTCATTATAATAAACTTGCATGTTACACGGAAATAAGTTTGTTATCCCTTAAAATTTGTTATAAAAGTATATTACTAACATTGCATTCATTGCAAAACAATTCTTCATTTACTTCGTTATAACCAATATTTCGGCACATCCAAGTTCGTTGTGTATACTACGCATAGTTACAGTTAAAGATTGTGGGGGTGCTATGCCTGCAAAGTTCGCCCTTTTAACCTCTAAGTTCGCTTGCGTCTCATGATGCATGCACGTCTCCTGGATTAGTTTAGGTGGGCTTTAGCAGCCACAAGGTGACAGGTCGTGCTGTGCTTGCACGAGGGCACCAGCAGCATGTTTTTGGGGCTTAATAGCGTGTGTAGATGGAAGGTTCTCGGCGTGGTCATAAGGTACGATTCCACGGGTTGGGCCCATGCCACCCTTATGGCAAGTTGGATATCGGCAATGCCACATTTGTGGTACATTGTATGCGTCGTGTTGTTTTGAGTGTCATGTTCTCTGTGTGTTGTACTGGCATTATGTATCTCATTATTTAGTGTGTTAATAGTTATTAGATTTAGCTTGTGGGCTCGTCGTGATGTAGAAGCAGTTAATAAATGTTCATGAGTTAGTGTGCCTGATGGCATGACTGTGTTTGTTTTCCGTGAGCATAAGTGATTCAGATCCCCCCTAAAACATTACGTGTGGCAGAACAGCAATGCGACACTCCCTAACAAAATTTACCAGGGCATTTGAGCTTCTACCATAAACCTCACAACACAAATGTGTGTCTGTATGGTATAATTAACTATGTTAATGCCCCAAGAAAGTGATTGACACCACTGAAGTGAGTAAGCACTATTAGGTGGAGCATTTATCCTGACTGGGAGGGACTGACAAATTTTCCTTTTTCTTAGCTTGTCAATGACTATAGGCAGCACTGTAAAACAGGTGTCAATAAAACATGATCAACAGCATTGAGCCTTAGTATATGAAAGTGCATTAGGCAAATTGGGACATATTTAACAAAATGCACACAAATAATAATAATAATAATAATAATAATAATAATAATAATAATAATAATAATAATAATAATAATAATAATAATAATAATAAAGAGTATAATTGCTGTGAAATATGAGGAGTACTTCTCCTTAGAGCGCTTCATAAACAAACATACCGAATAAAGGCTGGCAGTTTAATAATCTTTGTTATTGCTCCTCAACATAGACTGTGTGGCTAATAGCAAGAATGAGATACCGGGATGTCTGGTCACACATTTGCCAGGATTAGATTACCCGTTCCCACTTAGACTGGTTGGTGCAGCACACACAAGGGCAACCCAGAACGACACGGGACACCCACTAGGTACACTGTATAGTACTATGCAGGCATGGAAAGAAGACAAATCATACATTACTCCTTAGTTGTGCTATGCCCTCACCTGGGCTTTGTGTCGCTGCTGTGCCGGGACTGCGCAAACATGTCAAACTCGTCGCCCGAGGGTTTGGCCGCCGGGTTTGAACCTGCCCCTCCAGTCCCAGCAGGTCCCAACGCTATGCATAATAAAAAAAAATGCTGTGTGTATTGTAGCAAGCAAAAACCATACAATGATGGCCATTGAAAATGAGAAAATTAAATTCGAGTATCTCGAACATTATTGATAAGTTGACTCAAACATGGCGAAGCCTTCGTGGCAACACATCAAGTGGTGACATGGGTCTTAAAAGGTTTTTTTTAAAAGGGCCACTTACCAGGTTTGACAATTTTCAGATGACAAGCGTAATGCATAGATGGACGGTTCACGATAACTCCTGCCAAAATTCACAAAGCTACGCGACGCAAAAATGGGTCAAATTTTAAGATGAACGCTGCTCCCCCCTTTTTTTGCGAGTGCATGCCCAGAGAATTAAGGCATGACGTGAACGTATGAATTTCCCTACGTACACGGCAGTGCAATGACGTTGGTCTTCTACGTAGACGACTGTGCTCTGAAGTTGCCAACAGTGGCACGTGACATAGCAAAAATTATTCAACACGACATGTATAGTTTATGTGATTTGTTTCTTGAAGAGATTAATAAAACTTGAGATAAATGAGACACAAAAAGGAAATGTCCACATCTTTTTTCCATTTTTTTTTCCTGTTGATTGATTGATTAATATGTGGGGTTTAACGTCCCAAAACCACCATATGATTATGAGAGACGGCGTAGTGGAGGGCTCCGGAAATTTTGACCACCTGGGGTTCTTTAGCGTGCACCCAAATCTGAGCACACGGGCCTACAACATTTCCGCCTCCATCGGAAATGCAGCCGCCACAGCTGGGATACGATCCCACGACCTGTGGGTCAGCAGCTGAGCACCTTAGCCACTATACCACCGCGGCGGGGCCATTTTTTCCCCCCCCCAAGAATTGCAACGAGATGCGGGGCTAACCTGCCGGCGTTTTGCATGCATTCGTGCCCTCATGGTCAGCGCATTGAGCAGATTACAGCCATGAAAGTGAAAGTAACGCTCCTAAACGTTTGGCCACTCATTGTGCTCGTCTATTCTACCGCGCCTAAGCCAGCGTTTCTAAACCACCCCGCAGAAACGAAAAAGACCACAAAATAATGCTGGTCAACAAAGCGACGCCACTCGCTTGCTCGGGGGTTGGACTTGTTTGGGCACGTCGTGCCCACGTGACCTCTTGGTCCGATGCCTGAGAGGGTGGGGAAGAGATATGGCTTGCGAAGGCTATGTGGAGGAGCGACAAGGGTTTCAAGCTCGCCTCCTCTCATCCTCGTTTCGCACGGCTTAAAAAAGAACAGTTTTCTCAACTCGTTATGACCGATTGAAAAAATTTGTGGCATAATGCTCGTCATCGAACACACAACTTCCACAGTCTAACTAAAATTTGTAATAGCAGGATGAATGAAGTGAAATTTAAAGGGGTCCTGAAAGTATTTTTTAAGTAACCATGAAATTGATTTCCTGAAAAAGCGTATTGCCTCGCAAATTTAACGGCGCAAAAATTTTGAGCATCTGTCCGGTACAAGCGGAGTTACAAAGATTTGTCACACGCTGCAATCGCATGCTCTCTTCTCTCGTCCCAACAAAAGTGCTGGAAGCTAAGCAGGGAGGAATGAAAGGGGGCAAACAAAAAACGTCACGTGCGCCTCATGACCTTGAGCACTTTCTTCTTCTTTTTTCTTCTTCGAATACGCGTCTTTTTCAGTGTGATTTCGCGTGTACGCGTGGACAAGAGACGGCCTCTCGCGGCGATCTTTGTAACAACAGAGCGCACCATGTTCAAATGAGCAAAATGGCTGATAGATGGGTAATCTACATAAGATTTTTTAGCATCTTCTGTCATTTGTCGAGGCAAGAGAAAGCAATTTCTAGCTCAATGATAATTTATTGTGAATTCCAGGCCGCGTGCTGTGCTATAGCATTTAGCTCGCGTGTTCACAGGAGCCTCTACTACCGATCGGCAGCGGTCTCTGACCATGCTCAAAATGTTTTGCAAGGCCCCTTTAATGTACTTATTCAGTTTTTGTGTTTAACAACGTAAAGCTGCCAAAAAGCACTGTAAGAAGTATGCTTTCAGAGATTGCGTCTCTCTTATTCTAATGCAGCTAATAAATATCTACATAAGACTTGGATCTGCAGGAAAAACTGAATAAGTGCATTAAATTTCATTCAGCTCAACTAATAAAGAAAAATATTTAAAGACCCATGTCTCTCCTTAAAGGAATGACGAGGTGGCTTTGAAATCCGATCATCAAAGAGTGGCACAATCATCCATAATATTGTAACTTGTTTGCAGTTGTTCCAGCAGGAGCTTCAGAATACACAACAAAAGAGTTTCTCTTGCTCCACTCTTGTGAGTGTGGAAAGAAATAAACAGGGATTACATCATCATCAGTTTGATGCTGAAACTGCACTGGAACTGATGCTGGAACAAAAGAACTCAGCCACTTACCGACCCAAACTCACAGTGTGAGTGCTGTTTATGAACCAGATGCTCAAGTAAGTGTCGAGGCACTGAAAGCTCTGCAACTGGATTACAATATTCACCCAAAATGACAAACAAGGTTCACTTTGCTGAGTGCAAGGTTAACAAGCACCTCTCGTATCTTCAACCGTAGCCTCTCTGGTTGGCTCTATGTGTGTGCCATTGTTGAGGCTAATTGCAGAGGCCACGCATCAATAGTGCTGCTTCTGCAGATGACACGGCCTCTCGAAGATGTTGTCACCTCGTTTGCTCACAGTCTCAAGAAATCCTACCCTGGTGCCACAGTTGCAGTTCTTTTCCAAAGAAATGCCACTTGCGTTTTGAGTTCAGTACTGCAGAATCTCGATGATATGGCTACGGTTGATGTGAACTTTGCAATGATACAAATTTTAAGGTTTTTTTGGATGGACTGTATTATATTGTGTTATACAAAATAAGCCGTGATTCGGTGTTATACAAACAGTTTCCCCAGCCACCGCGGATGATACGAATGTGCGATTGAACGCTGCATGCCAGTGTCGCAACACTGCTTGTTTGTGAGAGGAAGGCCCGTTCACTCTTGGCCTCGAAGGCCCTTCACTCTTGGCCTCGAAGGGAGTGAATGCGGCAAAACTTGCCGGAATGTTTCTCGCTTTAGTGGCCGGAAAAAATCCATCCGAAACCACTTTTTCCACCACGCGATAGCAGATCACCTTCTTGCTTCTAATAGCACTTTGACTTCGGCGAGTAGGTACATAATTGAATAGGCTTCAGCCCAATTTAGACAAAGACTATAGGAGACACACAGAACACAGATGTTTCACGGCTTTGGCTACACCAGCTGCTCCAGCTCTCAAACCACAAATGTAAACAACCAGCCACTCATTCAACACAACAGCCATGGCATCGGTGGTGGACCGTGTCGGAGCTATCGTGGACTACTTGTGCAGCACGTCAAAGCTCATGGACTTGACAAGGACGTGTTCATCGAGAGCCTGGTTCGAATTACGATCTCCGAGAACAACGAAAGTAGAAAAAGAAAGGTGAAGCAGCAGAAAGTCAGCCCGCCCTAACGTGTCTCGCATTTGCACTGCCGGCTGATTCTGTCACCACCGCTGCGTCCGCTCGTGTTGTTTCTGCAGGCATATTTTTCGAAACAATGTTTGTAAAGGTGTAAATTATTTCTTTTAGTTCTTTGCATGCCTCAATAAACCTTGGTACGAACTTTAATGCTCAGGAAACATGCAAAATGGAATGAATTCTCAAGAGGCGATGGTAGCGGTGGCATGTGCGAGGGGCAGAACAAATGCGAAGATGTTAGACGGGCGCGAACGTGGTTTTGCGGCCGCTCTGTAATTTTGCTTGAATTCTCCAAGAAATTTTTTTTTATGTTGACTTTCCGGTGCAGTTTTCCGGCTGCTTAAACGGCCAAGTGAGTGAATTTCCAATGAGTTTGGTCGCTCTCACTCCCTTTGATGTCAATTGTGAATGCACCGTGCCATTCACACATGTACATGTAATTCATATACGTGCCATTCACAGCACGAGTGAGGAGACCGCGGCACTTTATTGAGAGACCGAGAAGGCAGGAGGGTTCAAAAGAACATCATGGACTTTTTTCCGCAAGAAGTAGTTGCCAATAAAGTTCTTGTTCACCTTCAATATCAGTTTTAGCTTGTTTTTGGTTCATACGAATTCGGGATGATACAAATGTTTTGCAAGCTTCCTTCAAATTTGTATCATCGAGGTTCTACTGCATTTAAACTGTGACTACACAGTACCCTCCTCCCAAATAGTTTCAGCTCTTCTTTAAAGAAGTATGTTACATCAAAACCTGATGAGCCATTTGGCTTGTAGTGCCCCATTTCATGCATCACGAGCTTCTTCTGGCTTTGCACACGTCTTCGGATTACCGCACAATCCGCTAGGCTCTGCATCTTCCCATGCCCATCCTTTCTGTGTTACTCCAAAGCCGTCAGAAGGCGGAGTCACTGCTTTTATAGTCTCTTTTAGTCAAGGGAATGCTGCAAAGACAAAGTGAACAGACAGCCTGGGAACCTCGAGCCGCACTTGAGAGGCGACGTGATACCACTTCGAGCTCACACTCTGTTCCCAAACTGTTGTGACCAGCTTTTGAGACAGAGTACAGTCTACATTACTGGCTCTCAAGCAGGGGTACGTGGAACCAAGGGGGGGGTCATGGACAACCCACTTAGAGAAAAGCCACACACTTCACACTGCATTCCGTGTTGTGACCCCCTCCTATTTTTATTTACTTTTCATTCACTGCAAGAGGTCTCACATTGATTCCACTGGTCCGAAAAGGTCCCTGTAAACTTATGGCTTAAAGAGACTTGTCTACATGTTCATGTACAGTGGAAAAACAATGAAGACAAAGTAAAACAGAAGAGACACAGACGAGATCTGACACAGACATTCTACAGGCTAATGAGTTGAAATTAATGTGCCCCTTTTGATGTAATGCACTGAAGAATGATGAATAAACCAATTATAGTAAAATAAAATGCAGAACAAGGCAGGTTAAACGACATCAAAAACCAACAAAATAATAAAACAAGCTTTTTTTTTCTTTCTTACCAAGCTTCTGGAGTTCACTGGTCACATCTGGCTCACCGAGGTCAATCAGAGGTGCTGCATCTGCAGCAGACGAGCTCTGCAAGCACAAGACGCACCAGTGCTATCACAACAACGAAAAGATAAATTGACCAATTGTGTGATCAGCTTATCCAAAACTCCACCTCTCACTATACACTTAGTATACATGTGGACAGCAGTTTATTAAGGGGGCAGACTGCTCTTTGGGACCAAAAAGTGACAAAGGAATTCATTTTTTAAAATTGACATATTTGGTTTCTGCAAGTATTTTTCTATCTCTCTGCAAATTTTCACGCACCAGGAAGTAGTAATTTTTTTGTAATGTGATTTTAACTGTCCAGATTCTTGGTGCTGTTAACATGCAGAACCTGCAAAAAAAATAGGGAACCGACTTTGAGCCTTCTTTATAATTTTCCAGCACCTTTGTCTAGAGCTCTCCTACTGATTTATGAGCGCCTTCATGAGGATTGCAAAACATGCACACCATGATTGTTGCTTTTTAAAGAAACTGTGTGTTTTCAGTTTTTTTCCATTTTTCTCAAAAAAGTAAATTTGTGACTATTCAATTTTGAGGCCTCAATATCTCTGCAGCTTGGGCAGGTACAACAATAATTCTCTTTGCAGTGGAAAGCTGTATGTGTGTAGAATGCAAGTATGGGAGCAGAATTTAGAGCACATGCCTTTTTAATTAATTAGTAATCAGTATTGTAACACAATTCCAACTGCTTTTGAAAATGTATAGTTCATTTTGATGCAAAATAACCAATAAAGGCCTAAAAACAAAAACCTTTTCCATACTTTCACTCTATAGTCATTAGTCTATGTTGGCATATCCTAAATATCACTTTTAATTAGGCTCTTTTTCTTCTATGGTGGCCTTAAACAATAGGTGGCAAACTTAAGTTATCTCAGGAACAAAGTGAATTACAGGAAAACTAATTAAATATTTGAAATCAGCAGGAAAAACTGCATAACCATGTGCAGTTTTATCAAGATCACTGAAGAAATAAACAAAAAATGTCTAAGACCAGTCTGCCCCCTTAAAACGCTTGCTTACCCTGTAGCTTATTCAGAGTCTACACAGACAAGCTCCGAAAAACAGTACTCCAAGCTGGTGTGTGCAGAAACAAATTCAGTATCGATGCTGAAGCTCATATACTCTGCAGTAAATGAGTTTCTCAGCTCACACATGAAAATAAGAGAGAGAAGTGGCTGTCACCTCATTCTGCGCATTGGCTGCGGCAGAGGTGTCCTTGACCTGTCCCGTGACAATGGCCGTCCTCCGCTTCTCAAAGCGCTCGTAACGCAGAAACAGGTTGTTCATGTCATCGTTGATTCGTAGCAACTCTCCTGTAGACAAGAACCGAGATAGAGTGTACAAAATCCATGCAATCAACTACATTTCTAAGTCTACACTAAAGAAAATGCAAGCCTACAGCATCATCATCATCAGCCTCATTATGCATACTAGAACAGGCTTGCGTAGACAATTCCACAAATGAAGAACGATCAGTAGTTTATCAAACTAATACATCGAATTTTTTGTGTAGTGCTGTCGTCACAGGAACCATTTCAGTGACTTAATTGTTTTCAATTCAGATCAACTAGATAACAAAGCAATCTGAATAATTGGATTGAAGCAAGTGCTCTCAGGTGCAACGGCTACTTTGCACTGCCACAAGAGGGCAGCACAAGTTTTCTCACAATCTCTTTCTTGCAAATATTCTTGCAGCCGTGTGAATTTCATATTTCAAAAGCCTTATGGGATGCCTCGTAACAAAATCACTCCTTAAAACCTAACACAAGATTTGTGATTTCGTAAAGCTCGAATCTAGAAATGTAACTAAAGATTCGGTTCGCAAAGCCCGAATTCGGAAAGTTAACGAAAAACTCGGGAAATTCCGCAGGTTTCTAATGATGTCCACTGCAGTTCACTGCTGAATGCAGCACCAAATAATCGTTATGGTGCTGATAACAGTCAAGTGGCGATACAAAGACATTGGAAACAATGCCTGATAAAAATATTGGTTATCAAGACACTACACATCAAAAACTATCTTGTCGCTCCATAGAATTTTTTTAGTTGCAATAGTTTATTTTTCAGAAGCACTTCTTGCTGGGGAAGTTCATTCATGTCTATGGTTGGAATAGTTGCACATAGAGATGACTCCACAGGAAGAAGACAAGGTAGACAGTAAGGGCGCAATTTATCAAGGGTTTTTTTAAAGTATGAACACTTTTTGGCTGTTTCCTTGAATTGACCATTCATCTTATTGCAATACACCAAAGAAATCATATCTCACTCTTGTCTTGGTGTGAAAAATGCCTAAGCAACATGGAATGACTACACAAGATTACACATCACACTTGTGAGACATCTCGACACACATCTTGAATTGGTGGCCACAGACCCAAACAGAGATATCAGAAAGATATCAAGCAGCATCACAGTAGCAAGACTGCCCTTCAAGGCTGGATAATAAACGTACCTGTGACTTCTTCGTTGGCCACCTTGTTGATGAGCTCGACAACTCTCGTTTGCATGGCATGGCACGTTTTCTGCAGCTCCTGTAATGATGCAACCCATACATAAATGAGCCAGCATTCAATAAGTAGACAAGTAAATGAATGAATGAATGAACGAAATATGACATAGAGCCTTTGATGAAAAGGTTGATGTCAACACAAAATCCTTTTTATTGTGATGGCTGTTACACAATATATGCAGCATACTGGTGCTGTTGGGGTTCACAAATAACGATTATTAATGCATAATTCAGTCATTCTTATAGCATCTGGTTTTCTGAACTAGTTGGTATTCCCTTTCTTGCACTGAATGACATAAAACCAAGTAAACATGGCAAAAGCAAGCACTAGGTACATGTTCGTTCCCTGCTTAGCCTGTTTTGCATGGTTTGCTACAAGGAAATGCCATGTGAACAGATGATGGGTAAAGGGCTATCACAAGACCTCAACTGATCCAGGAGACATGCAACATGCCTAGGAGAATTTGTGGTGACCACAGCGTATGGAGTAACATAAGACAAGACTGCCGACTTAGCTGCCACGCAACCCATTAATTCGGGACAAGCCGTGCAATGCAGATGCAGTGGTCCAGTTCATTCCTTTGCTCTGTCCCTCCGTTCCAGTTCACACTTTCACACAAACTTCCTTCTACCCTTGTGGTGCTCACAACATGTGGTAGCATGTATCGAGGCACATGGAAATTATTTAACCTGCTCTCATACAAGTGCATGCACTAACTGGCAGAGGCGAGAAGAGTTGAGACCTTGAAATGGTTTTGCCGATTTGATATGAACACACTGAGCCAGTGAAGCACGTCACGGAGATCCTTTGAAAACTAATTTAAGCTCTCTGCATCAACTGTGCAACTTATTATGAAACTTTAAACACGCGATTCGCTGCAGATCTCAGCAGCTTAGCCAAATGATGGCTCAATTTCTCACATCTTTTACATGTAGATGTAGAAAAGTTCCAGTACGCCTAGCACCCTGTGACTAATGTTATTGGATATTCCAGTTGACGCCAGAGAATTTCTTGAGGCAGCAAGCGCCGCCTGCTTGTGTTACAATATGCTCCATGTTGGCAAGAGCTGAGCGACAGTGTTTTAATCTCAAGCTTTCTTCTTTTTGGACATGATGAATTGCCCTGGCTGTGTTGTGTACCACACAGTATCTAGCAATCGGTGACTATTACAGCTACGACATTGTGCAAGGTTTGTGAGGCATCCGGTCAGTGGAATCACTGCAGCTCGTCGCTGCGATGAGCGTAGCGTTCTCGCTGTCTGGTCGACGCTACAATCCATGAGTCTGCAGGGTCCTACTTCAACCCTACAGAAAACAACCGCATTGCCAGAGTTGAAACTTATCGGTGATTATCCTCGAGTTTTTTTAGCTTTTTCCCACAACTTTGCAGATTGCTGCCGTACAAGAGAATTAGACAAGATGTGCTGGTAGTGTGGTGGTACCAGTCCGAGCAAATATCAGAACTTAGTGATCTTCGTCGCTGTAACCAGATGGTGTGCGTGCTCTGGGTGAACTGTGCTATGGCCTCAGAGATTGCACACAACCTTTCAGTGCACAGTCTCGGAGGCCATGAATGAGCAAAGCTCGAACCATTGAATGCTGCCATTAGAGCACTGCGATCGCCAAGGATGCCAGCATGACTCATGAGTTGAGGAGGCAAGGCAGGGGTGAGAAAGAAGGTATCGATGTGTTTGTAGAAGCCTTAGTATGTGGTGCCTCGCTGAATATATGGTGCGAATGATTTGATAATACTCTAGCCTAAATGCCGCCAAATTAAAAAGAAGACATTTCAGAGTCCCTTTATGTGGGGAGGAGACTATAAAATGGGTAGACAAACAGAAGTGGGAGTGTGGTGAAGCGTGACCTGACCGTGCACCATTGTTATAGCAACAACACACAGAACACCTGCCAGCAGTACTGCTCGAGGATGACATCTCTCCTTCGCAGCTTCATTGCCATCTGGTGAACACGCGGTGAAACAGGAATGGGCACTGCGTAATGTGTCTATTCCAGAAAAACGGTCTCGGCACTCCTGTCTTATCTTAAAGTGATGTCACACGGGTAAATTTTATTTCGATCAGGGCTGCATTAGATTAGGCTCAATTTGGATCAAGTGCTACCACACGGTCAAATTTAGTTGAGACCAGTGACAATTGCAATCAAGACTATCGTGATCTGTGCAATGTAATCTGGCTTCCACATCACAATTTGACTCGCATCTGCACCAAACTCAAACCACATTAGTTGGGACAATGTAGCAGAAATTATTGTTTATCATGATAAGAAAACTTATTTGGGTGTCCCCTACCCTTGATCAGAAGTTCCCGTGTGACACTCCATTTACTCCATGCTGCAGAGTTGGACTACACTTACTGACCTGAAGAAGCTCCCACTCGCTGCGCTGCTCCTGGCCAGGCACCAGTTCGGTCAGCATCTCGCCAAAGACCGTCATGTTGCGCTGCACTATGTCCAGCTCCTTGCGCAGCTTGTTCAGCTGCTCAGGCGTGAGCCCGACGGGGCTCGGTGGGAGCGCCCCCGACTCCACCTCGCTTTGGGCCACGGGTCGGCCGTGGGCTGCGTAGGGGTTCACCCGGGGCAATGTCGTGGGTGCCGTCAGAGGAACGCTCTGCAGAAAAATTTGTTCACACCGCTTGTTTCGTTGGCTGCTAACAGCAAGGTATGTAAGCTTTTCGTTATAGTCGAACCCCTTTATAAGAGACACTCAAACCTCATTATAACAAAGTTGCATGTTACACGTAAATAAGTTTGTTATATCTGAAAATTTGTTATAAAGGTTTCCTCCTTACACAATATCTATTGCAAAACTATTTTTCTTTTACTTTGTTATAACCAATATTTTGTTTTATCCTGGTTCATTATATCGAGGCTTATGTGTATAAGAGACAAATGGGTGTAAGCGACACCAGAGTGCCTACAGTAAAATATGGATTGGTGAGAAAATTCATACATCTCATGTAAAAAACAAGATTGCTGACCAGAGCATGCCTCTTGTAAAGAGGTTCGACTATCTAGTCTTCGATTTCTTCGAATGCTGATGGCTTGAACCAGGGGTGTGCAATCATTAGCCACTAAAATCCGAATTTCAATTTTAGAAAGAATCCAAAAAAAAAAGGCTGTAGATCAGAGGAACATGTAATCTTAAAGAGATAAACAATTCATAAACATAAGGTGTCCCTGGAATCAATATTTCAACAAGTTGTCTATTCTTGAAGTCCACAACCAGTCGTGGTCCTGACGAAGACAAGTCTGCTTCTCTAATTGTTGCCTCCAGCGACACCTTGTGTTCATGAACTTTTTATCTCTTCTAGACCGAAAAAATTCATATGAGAGACAAAACAATAACTGTATTTTATTGCATAACAATTGCACCACTGAACAATCTAATCATAATATAATTTCTGCTTTTTAACGTGAAATGATTGCCCACTAAAACTTGGCACACAGTGCCCATGTGTTTTTCCGGTTTCCGCGAGCAGAAGCATGACCTGTGAGATATGGATTTGAAGGGGGTACCTATGGCATATTTCAGAAATGAATTTTATAATGCAGTTAGCAAAAGTAAGGCTTTTGAGATCTACGTTTGTTGCACAGAGCTGTCGTATTGACATGGGCTAATGTCGTCACACTGCTAAATGATCACACCAATGAATTTGTGTAAATTTTTTGAAAAATTCAATGTGCTCATAACGCAAGTTGATGTGACACCTAGCAGGAGTTTTCCTGTTTTCTATTGCGTAATTGAATAGCAGACTAAACAACGAAATGAGTCAGAAATCACTTTTTACAATGCCAACTAAAAAGAAATTTCACGACGGTATACAACGTACAAAAGATTAGCACAGGTACAGGCATACGGAGCAGTAAATCAGGTGAAGCATGAGTGCTGCTAAGCAGCAACTGGGAAAGCCACTAAAGCAAAACCTAATTGATGATTGATTTGTGGGGTTTAACGTCCCAAAATCACCATATGATTACGAGAGATGCCGTAGTGGAGGCCTCCGGAAATTTCGACCACCTGGGGTTCTTTAACGTGCACCAAAATCTAAGCACATAGGCCTACAACATTTCCGCCTCCATCGGAAATGCAGCCGCTGCAGCCGAGATTCGATCCCGCGACCTGCGGGTCAGCAGCCGAGTACCTTAGCCAGTAGGCCACCGCGGCAGGGCTAAAGCAGAACCTAAAATCTGTTTTTATAGTTGCCGAGAGGCAAACAACATTTTTTTTCTTTTTGTAACTCACGAGAGCTACCAACGGTGAGGCTAGGTAGTGATTTGTTTCAAGAGGGTGTGTTCTCTGGATGCCACACATACAGCAATAGCCTTCAATACATTCAGTTAGAATTTTTTGTTCGACCATTACGACAGGAAGGCAAGACATGTTGATAGTGTAAGTGAATCGCGAAAATGCCAAGGAAATACAATTACTGTTCACAGAGAGCCTGAACATAAAATGTATTACAGATTTCAAATACATTTAGCACAGTGTAAGTACTATCTGCATAAAATGAAACCTGAACATTGGCAAGCCTTCGCAATGGTATAGTGCGTGCCGTCCACTTATCAATGACAGACACGCACATCCTGTCCAGCAGCTCTGCGCGTATATGCCTGCTTGTCCATGGTGATAAGTGGACAGTGCACACTATACTGTCGCGAAGGCTTGCCGATGTTCGGGCTTGATTTCACGCAGGTAGTACACATAGCACCCCACCAGGACAAGGTGCTAAGAATTTCTCACCCTCTGCGGTGTGTAGATGGGTGCCATGGAGTCCAAATCAGTCATAGGGAACTCAACACCTTTGTTCTTGAGGTCGGTGTACACCTGGACAACACCCTGCATGTCGGGGTGTGTGCGGAATGCATCTGCCCAACTCTGGAACACAGAAACAATGCCACAGTTAGACACACTCTAACACTGCCTTGAACTTGCAGCTGAAAAAACTCGCAAGGTCCCTTACGCATTTGACTGAAATAACCTGAAGTCAGGATCCATCGTTATCTTATTAAATCTATCCATGTTACCTTTAGCTACCTGCAATAACCTCAAGTCCCAACATAAGTCATTTTAGTCTTATGCAAGTAAATATCATGGGCTTCCCACACAAGGTTTCAAATCAACTTGTAACTTTTTTTTTGTTTATATTTAAAATCTGCCCTGCCCAATGCGAACAAATTAGAATGCCGTTTGGGAGCCTCACTTAAGCATGTCCACTTTGCAGCAGTTTGCCACAGCCACTTCACCAACACTGTGTATTTCACAGAGAAACATTTAGAATATCAATTTACTAAAAGATTCTAATGAAAGTTCTAGCTGTGCACTCAAATGAAGTTACCAGGCAACACAGCAAGACAAAGAAGCAGGATAATTTAATAAATTGTCTAGCTGTTACGTAGAAATGTTAAGGAAAATGAAAGTAAAAAAACAACTGCAGCAGGTGGGTGTCCAGCCCACGAACTACACATGAAGTGTGTTACGGATCCCCACTTAGCTACACAGGTGGCTTCCCTCTCTCCTCTACTTAAGCATGTATACTGGTAAATTTTACACAGGCACGTTCGCCACCGGTGCTCTCAGCCGCGGCAGTCAGTGAGTGGGCAACTGCCACAGCCTGCATAGCACACTATGCGACCTCTGGAACAAGAAATAGTACTTGAGAGATAAATTACTGTCATGCATCAGAGAGTTAAAGCATGCATTAGAGAGTATAATTAATTATTGGGATTTAATGTCTCAAAGCGCGATATGACTATGAGAGACGTCGTAGTGGAGGGCTCCAGAAATTTTGACCATTCGGGGTTTTTTACTGTGCACCTAAATCTAAGCACATGAGCCTCAAGCCTTTTCATCTTCACCGAAAATGAGGCCGGAGCGGCCAGGATTTGACCCGTTGACTTGCGCATTAGAGAGTATAAAACAATAAGCACACATAAAACAGGTACTAACGGGAGATCCCAACCCCGAAAAATAAATTTGCCACGGAAAACAATGGGCTGGAGTGCATTCTGCAGGACCTCCCAAATATAAGAAAATCTGCCAGTTCTAATATACTGCAAATTCTAACATATGAGGTTAGAATATATACGCAGGACAACAGAGCAACTTGAGAAAAAGTTGGGGCACACGCATTGTGCGATGGAATGGAAAATTATATGAGTAACATCAAGAGATCAAAAGACGACAGAATTGGTCAGAGAAAAATTGTGGGGGTAGCAGGTGTCTTAAAACATGAATGTTGAAATCAAACACACGAAATGGACTCTGGCTGGCCACAATGCGTAAGACGGACAATTGACGAACCGTAAGAGCAATTACAGAGTCGTTATGAAGGAATGGGAAATGCAGCCAAAGAATGCTACAAATAGATCAAGAAGTTCACAGGGACAAAATGGGATCAGCTGGCACGTACTGAAATGCAGCCGTGTTGTGTACGTACCTGTATGAGACTGAGCACTTTCTCCTGCACGGCAGTGGGTGGGTCGTTCTTGGGTCCGATCATCTTGACCAGGTCCTGAATGAAGTCCTTCTGTGACACTAACAGGTGGAACCGACGGCCGCAGTTCTTCACGCACGTCTCCAGAACCTGTAAATAGCAGTCATCAACACTGTCACCAGGGGTGCATTTGAACATAAGCAATTTTGGAGCCCTTGTATCAGGAAAATGGGGGTCATGGAAAGCTTGGTTTTTACCGCTTTAATTAAAAGTAATACCTCAAGCATGCACAGGCTAAGCTTTGCTAGTATTACTTGTTCTTTCTTTCTATAGCATTGTGCAATGCACCCTCCCACATTGTTCCTTCCTCCATGCCAGGAAGTGGACCTTTATCGGCATGCTGAGCGGCTTAACACTTCAGCATGTTATTGGCAGTCATGAGCACATATAAGTATGCAACAACACCACAAGAGAATGTCAAATGGCGAGCGACCTATATAAACGATCGAATGCCATGTCAGAAATGGCTTATCGCGAGCAAGCCCCCAATGAAGAAAGCAGCAATTACTCGAAAATGGCGCATACAAACACGCACGTGGCCGGTACACCTTCAAGGTCCTCACATCTTCATTAGTGACTTTTTTTTCTTTTTTTTTAGCAGTCACAGTTACAATGCTAACACTTATGACACAGTAAAAGCTTTGCCTGAGAAAAAAAAAAGAGGGGGGGAGGGCCACCATCCTTTGAGCCTGCCTGACATTCCATGCACTTGAATATCACCAAACCTATAAATTGGGTAAGCTGGTTTATACCAACAAATTCTATGAACTTGCTGACTTAAATTCACGAACTGAAGGCAAACACGCAAGAACAGTAATTGGAAAAAACAAAGCACTTTATTTGTAAACCTGTATTCCCATCAGTATTTTCTTCTTCTTTTGTTCACAACTGTCAGTACATTCTTAAAATAGATCGCCAAAGATATTCGACATGCACTCCTCTTGAATGCATTACAATAAAAAAACTTTGTTGAATACTGGTGACATTATCATTTAAGGGCACTGTCATCCTTACATTGTTCGTTCCATGTTTTGGGCATAGTGTGCCTTTTCCAAACGAGTAATTGACTAGCCCAACAATATGAATCAAAGAGCTATACCTTCTCACCAAATCAGGAACTGTAAGGTGCTTGCTTGAACTGAGAGCATGAAAAATCACACGGTCCATCTAGATAAACATAACGGCTTTCTCTTGCTTTTGTACCTGAAAAATTTCTTTCGCTAAGCAAGTCTATTATTATTATTATTATTTTCATGCTGCCAACATATTTTCATATGTTCAACGGAAAGAGAGAAGGCATGCAGAGCTAGGCAAGTGTTTGCCTCACCTACTTTTTTTCTTTCCTTCGCATTGCACTACACTCCCTTCCAACTTATTCATTTTTCCATATCGGGAATTGGACCTCTGCCCATGTGCTAAGCAGTGCAATACTTCCATTGCTACAGGTGACAACAACAGTCGTTCATGAAAGAATGCCAATGCAGAATGAAAGCCAACAACGAAATGTGGCAAGGTGAAATGATAAGTGACCTTGATAAAAGATTGGATGGCCATATCAGAAATGAGGCTGATCGACGACACGCCCACGATTGAGACTGTGGCAGTTACAGGAAAACAGCACATGCAAATACACATGTGACTGGCGCATGCCTTCGTGGGCCCAATTTGTGCAAACCCGCATTTTTGTGGCTCTCATCAAAGCCATGTTTTTCGCGAACTATGCTGCCACAACCACCTTCAGAAATCTGTATCTCAGAGAAGCTTCGCTTAAAGTAAAGCCCTCTTATTTCTTACTGGTCACATTTTACAGGCCGAGTGCCCCAAACCTGTGAATGCGGTCACAAGGCACGTCTGCCTGTAGGCTTTCACTAGAAGCAGGTGTTCCAGCCACGAGGCAATAAAAGCTTTCCTCGTCACCACAAATGCAGCTGCAGCTGTCGTCGGCACACTGCAGGCAGCCTCTGAATAGCACGTCCTGGATGCACTTAACTTTCCGGACATTTCCACTGAGCAATGCCTGTTTCTTATTTGTTTCGCATTTACCACATTTCTTTGAATACAATGCTAGCTTAGTTCCAGATTATTATTACCTTAAGTTCATGCTCACGTTACAACTGAATACCGAAATTCAAGCTATCTAAAAAGTGCAAAGATGCATACAATTATTTTATTTTTTCCTAGAATGTAACCCTCCCATTACAATCATGGTCACATTGAATCGAGTAAATACGGCACTATGCAAGCGCATACTCTGTTAACATCACTTGAGATTGTGAATATTCCCTTTCCATGCATTTTCTTTCGTTGACTTAGCTATCTTTTTTTTTTCTTTACATGACACTGCGGACATTTTTTACCCGAGCCGGATGTAGCAAATTACAAGAATAAACTACTTCGTACAAACAGGATTTGACATGTACAAGACGTGTGTCTTCTGTTAAAGGGAACAGCTGCATGCATGGTATGTATGGATTTTATTCTCTTGCAAAAGTATAGTGGTTTAGATTTGCGTAAGGCCACCGCTGATTGACAGTTATGACTTTCTCTGACAGACTGGTACTGTGCATGAACATTGTCAATATGCCTTATCAATATGCTGTTAGAGGGCCAGCGATATAAACGGTGCTCATTGTAGTGTTCCCTTTAACAGTGGACGGTACTGTACATTCCTACATACAGGCATGAAAATACACACACATATATATAAGCAGTTAGAGTGTTATCGCCTCTCGAAAAAAAATCCAGAAATGCAGTTGGCAAGAGCTCTCTAACAAAGGTTCAAAACATTGTTGAAATTCTTGCTTACTTTCGGCAAGTTAGCACTTATCTCAGGCTTGCAATTTATTCTTAAAAAATGAGAATCTCTGCAAGTATAGCTGCAAAGTGAGGAAACAAGTAGTGAGTGTGTGCACGTTGAATTTCTTTGTGCTTAAAGATAGGTCCACGAAGTATTTAGTGCTGAGGAAGGGTAGTAAACGTGAGCACACCTAGGCATATCGCTGTTTAAAGTTCAAGTATGAAAAAGTATCGAGATGATCCCTGGGCTCAGTAATGATCAGCCAGTTCATTACTGTTAGAGCAATTCAAGCACAACCGTGGCAGAAGGAAGGTTTACTGAGCTGGCTCGAAATTCATTTTAATGACAGACACCTCTAAACTAAACAAACAACTACATAAGCATAAAAAACAAAAAAAAGACATACAAAATGCTGCGTACCTCCTCACACTCAAGTGAACCTTGCATTGTGTGTCCCAATAAAATGTTACAGCATTTGGTTACTACCTTCCCAGAGCACTGACCCTGAACATGTTTGCCATCTCTCCCTTCTTTTTTATTCTATGAAACCTAGCCTTCACCCATGAGCCTGATATTGATACATTGCTTGTTTTCTGTATTTTGATAAAAGCAAAAATGCCAATAACAGAACAGGCCATGTGAGGTACAAAGCAGGCAAGCCCTAAAAAGTGAGATATTCGGGCACCCTCCAACAACAATGACTATTTTAGCAACATGCTCCAAAAGCTACGCAGCCCAAGATATTATCCACGCATAAAGGCTATGCAAATGGGACCAACAATTCAGTTACAATAATAGAACAATGCAAACAAGCAGGAAGTTTTAATGTGGGCACTTTTATAATATTGTGCTTCATGTACAGATTTGAAATGTGTATACTAATAAACAAATTTAAAAAAGAAAAAGTCGAAAGATGACTGAAGGGATAGATGTGCAAAATGCGAAAGGAATACGCAGACCAACAAATAACACTTGTGACAACTTCACACAGTCAGAACAGACCATGAAGTGGGCTTATCACAAGGATATGTTGGTGCCCTTATCTAATCTAGGCTACAAAGGTGTATATGACACAACGGAAATTGATGATGTCATATACTTTTTGCCATGTATTTCTCACTAGCCTTTGACTACATTTGAAAACAACTGTAATTCATTTATTTAAATGAACAGCTGAGTTTTGTCGAACGCATTTTCGCTAAAGAGACAGTTTGAGCAACATGTGTAACACTTTTTCAACAGTAGTAACCAATAAAATACATAAAACACAAAATGAGAAACAAAATAGATTAACATAGTCAAAGGTATAAAAGAAAGTTGTAACAAAAACAGGAGAACAATACGTTATCACAAGGAGTTGGGAATAAAAGTATGAAATAATAATTGTGACCATTGGATGCAGTAATAAGTTTTGGTGTCGCACAGTTTGTCAAAAAAAAAAAAAAAATGGAAAGCTGTGATTACTTCGTACACTCTGCCGAGCGAAACTGAAGTGAGATGAGAAGGTGCAAGGCGTGTACTCACGGTGAGAGCGTACATGACAACGGTGTAGTTCTTGCCCGCATTCTGCATAAGCCTCTTGCGTATTGCCCGAATCGCATCCTTTGGCCTGGGAGGATTCAAGGCAAAACAACTGAAGAATGTTTATCATTGCAATGAAAATGATAGTAATAATGCTGAAAGTAGCCCTTAATCTCCAATGAAGGATTATTACTGTTCCAAAAAATAAAATGATTGTCCTACTAAAAACATTTCTTTTCATAGAAAAGGTGTCCAAAAAATTTAAACATTAAAAATTTTATGGACGTGCATAGAGCAATACAATTGACAACATGGTTGCAGTAATCAAACTGACAGCTCATTGAACAATGTTACGAGCATGAGCTAAATACAAAATATGCATATAAAAACAAAATGCCCATTTAATAAAGCTGCTTCTAGCAATATAATTAATGACAGGGTGAACTCATCAGATAACATTAGAACAAGGCTAAGCTTTATTTGAAATAATCATAGGAAAATATTAGGAAGGCTGCATTGATGTACCCACAACGCTCATCTTTGTTCTTCACAGGTAGAAAAATTATAGTGAAACTTGTTCTTGGGCTGGGCAGTTTGTACATGAAGCAGTTACCGTATCATTAGCACAGTGGATGCAAGAGAGATGATAGGATGTATAATGCACTCTTGACTGGCTTATTTTTGGAAGATGTAAGTAGAAGTAAACTTGAGAACACAGTTCACATTTTGCCCACAGAAATAGCAAACAGTGCCTTCATATTACCAATCAGTTCATGCAATCTTTGTTATTATTCGATAAAACCACCTCTTTTTGTGGTGCGACAACAGCGAGCAAACATATTTGGCTGGCCCATCTGTGTAAACGCTGTTGAACTACAGCAGAAGTGCATTTGCCACTGAATGTTTACCCATATAGCCTAGCTCAGTAGTTTACTTTTGCAAGTTTTTAAGCTCAAACATAATTATAATTTTTCTGGTTTTAAATTCCTAAACCACAATACTATTATGAGGCACACCATAGTGGAGGGCTTCAAAAAGTTTGGCATTGTGCCTACAACAAAATGGCATTGTGCCTGGCATTGTGCCTACAACAAAATGCAACCACCACAGCTTGGATCCAACTTTCGACCTTCGGGTCAACAGCTGAGCAACCTGACTGCTACACCGTTGTGGCAGATGTTATGCTCAAATGCTGACACGGTTAATGGCATGAGAGAGCTGCTATGCCAAAATAGAGAAGGCTATGTTTATGTTTTTATCCTATGACCACCACGAAGTAGGCCAACAAACAAAAGGCAGCATGCCTCAAATGATACGACCACCTGGGAATCATGAGGCTCTTGATGCAAGAGCTTATTGTAAGGTGAAAGCAGACTAATAACATCATTGTTGCCTGAAGATTGGTGGCAGTAAAACATTACCCTTCATCAGTATCGTTGACGAGGTCGCATATCTCCATGTTGAGTGCCCAGTTCTCCGAAGCCAGCGAAGCATCCGTCGCTTGCTCTGCAACAAACAGTAGTGCGGGAATATTAGAACTCTAAATAAAATTTTCTAAGCTGAAAAGGCAATCTTTGATTGCTCCACTAAAAAAGGTAAAAACAAATCGCGACCTTCTACAAAAAGAAGCTAGTAAAATTATCCAGAAGGAGGGCTCTCCAAGTAGACCTCTCATTGCTAAGCCAGCATAAAAATATAGATAAGTCGCTAGTTATCGCTGTGATCAGCAAGGGCTTCCTCAAGAATTGAAGCTAGGGTGTGTCATATTAGGAAAGTTAACCAAAAGAGCACGCAGACAACATCAGGTGGTTGTCAATGACCTCTTGTCTCTTTCTGTAGTACATGTCTAAATGCGGTGCATTTTTGTGGCATGTTCTATTGGGTCAGTTCCTACAGTGTGTGTCTAAATGTCAAGGGCAGAAGAGGAAGAGGAGGGGGAGCCGCAATATTTATACTGAATTTTTTATTTGTGCCGATTTCATTGCATAGGACTATAGCTGAGCCTGTGAATACAAGGCTCATACTCAGATTGTAAAGAGTTAGCACTTCACTTCATGCAAGAAATGGAGACACACTTATGGACGCCCCGGATTGAAGAACATGAGACCATGTATACTGAGTTATAACTTAATTGGTATATGGCTGCTACATGTACCACATTCATACTATCAATCAGGTAATAGAGAAATGCTCAGAGTATAACCAACCACTATACATAGCCTTCATAGATTACGAGAAGGCGTTTGATTCAGTAGAAATATCAGCCGTCATGCAAACACTGCGGAATCAGGGCGTAGATGAAGTATATATAAACATTCTGGAAAAAATCTACCGGGGATCAACTGCTACCATAGTGCTTCATAAAGAAAGCAACAGAATACCAATCAAGAAGGGTGTAAGGCAGGGGGACACAATTTCCCCAATGCTATTTACAGCGTGCTTACAGGAGGTTTTCAGAAGCCTAGAATGGGAACAGTTAGGGATAAGAGTCAATGGAGAATACCTTAGTAACCTGCGCTTTGCCGATGACATTGCATTGCTGAGTAACTCGGGGGACGAATTGCAACTCATGATTACGGAGTTAGACAAGGAGAGCAGAAAGGTGGGTCTTAAAATTAATCTGCAGAAAACGAAACTAATGTACAACAACCTCGGCAAGGAGCAACGCTTCGAGATAGGTAATAGTGCACTTGAAGTTCTAAAAGACTATGTCTACTTAGGGCAGGTAATAACCGCCGAACCGAACCACGAGATTGAAGTAACTAGAAGAATAAGAATGGGGTGGAGCACATTCGGGAAGCACTCTCAAATTATGACAGGTAGATTGCCACTATCCCTCAAGAGGAAGGTATATAACAGCTGTATCTTGCCGGTACTTAGCTACGGAGCAGAAACCTGGAGACTTACAAAGAGGGTTCAGCTTAAATTGAGGACGACGCAACGAGCAATGGAAAGAAAAATGGTCGGTGTAACCTTAAGAGACAAGAAGAGAGCAGAGTGGATTAGGGAACAAACGGGGGTTAAGGATATCATAGCTGAAATCAAGAAGAAGAAATGGACATGGGCAGGGCATGTAGCGCGTAGACAGGATAACCGCTGGTCATTAAGGGTAACTGACTGGATTCCCAGAGAAGGGAAGCGGGTTAGGGGGAGACAGAAGGTTAGGTGGGCAGATGAGATTAAGAAGTTTGCGGGTATAAATTGGCAGCAGCAAGCACAGGACCGGGTTAACTGGCGGAACATGGGAGAGGCCTTTGTCCTGCAGTGGACGTAGCCAGGCTGATGATGATGATGCTACATGTAACAATGAGCTAAACATGCATGGACACAGCTATCGTGCACACCTCCTCTTTACAGCTACGGAACCCGGCTGCTGACCTGCAGGTCGCGAGATGAAATCCCGATGGAGCAAAAAATGCTTGAGGCCTGTGTGCTTAGGTTTAGGTGCACCACATTAAACAACTCCCAGGAGGTCGAAATTTTCTAAGCCCTCCACTGTGGCATTTCTCTTAATCATAAGGTGTTTTAGAGACATTGAACCCCAACAATTTTATGACTATCATAGGCATCGGTAGTGGCTATGGTAGGGAGTGGGGAACCTTCACCTCCTCCCACCACGATGCAACACAGCTTCGATTCAACACAGTCAAATGCAAAATCCTGCCGATGCCCATGGACTCTTACAAAAAAGTTTGTTAAAAGTTAACAGAGTACCATCGTAAAAACAAAGGGGCATATATAGGCTTTAGGAAAGGGAGAAAGGTGCAGTGAAAGCTCTGCATTTCTTAGGTTAAACTAGAGAATGACCAGTTGACAAATGCCCCATTCCAACCAGCCCCGGAATAAATAAGTATTTCTGATGATTAAAGAAAGTGAACTCCTCACTATCACTCAGTTCCCTTGAAAAGCCCATCCCCAGGCTCAGGCATTGCAGGGAGAAAAAAAAAAGGGCAGCACGTAGGTTACTCAGGGGTTTTGGCCAATGCAAGGTATAGAGTCGTTACATGCTAGAAAAGTAATTAATGTTTTCAAGAATGCAGGAAACTAGGAAGACATCAAACAATGTGACATGTGCTCAAACGAAAAATTTTCTCGCTGTTGCACCTTGATTAAACATGCACACAACAATGACTTCTACGTCGAATTCGTGCACATGCTGACCAAATAATCGCACTCCTTACTCCAAAGCCTGATCCGACGGCTGGCTTATGTGCCTTTCGTTTGCTCTTCTAATGAAAAGTTTTTCAACGATTTCTCAGGTAAGTTGCTTTTTATGCCTAAAAGTACAGTCGTCTCCATAAAACAAGGAGTACACTACATTTCACAACAATGATCAGATAGCTGGACAACAGCTCCTTTAATTCACACTAACCAGTTCAGTTTTTCTTTTGAAGTCCCTGCTTAACATTTAGGTTTATCTAAATAATCATGCAAAACTAACCAGTCCGATGGGTTGTTATTTTGACAGAAACATGCACTCATTATATCAAGCACTATCCTGCTTTGTTTATAAAACTGACTTGCAAAAAGCCTTTACATGCGTTCCGTTTTCGTCAAACAAGTACATGCCAGGTCCACAGCTTAAAGGTACGCTCAAGAGAAACAATGACTTGGTTTATATTGACGAACTACACTCTGTGAACTATAATGTCATCAGTTTCATTGTAATAAATTCATTGTTAAAGGAGAAAATCAAGGTTGAAGTTTCAATTTTTGAATTTTGTAACATAATCTCTACGCGTGACACCAGAAGTTCCACAATGTATTTTTCATATTTTCGCGACATTGGCACGATGAAATTTTCTGAAACTTCGTATGCTAAATCTAGGGCGCTGAAAGGTTACGAAGTTTTTCAGTTTTATCAATTAGAAGGTACGTAGGACCCAGTACACACCTTCGAAATTTATGATGTCACAGCGTTTGATGCGGGAATCTCAAGGTGGCGTCTCCACCCACAGTTTTTCTCGCGTGTTCTCACAACCAAGTGTCGTGTCACAATAAGAAAGGTATTTTTGGGATTGTGAAATTGTACGTTACTAATACATATAAAAGCCTTTTGCTTTTGGCGTTGCATTAAACCTGCTGCCACTGGTGCTCATTTAGAAATGCCACTTTCCAACAAACACGCCACAATAGCAGCAATATGCACGAAGTGCAACAGGTTTCGTAGCTTTGATAGGTGGTATGCAACATTTGCGGCATGACATGAGTCGCATGTAGGTGTGGCATACATGCACAATAGTGTACTGCAATCTTGCAGATAAATCCTCGACCAGTGAACCTCATCTAGTTTCATTTGCGCTCCAACAGGTTATCCTAAGAAGTGGATATGTTGGGATTTAGGCAGCTGGAAACAAGTTGTGTTCATAGTGGAGGATAAAGTTACAGAGCCAACAACATACACTAGATTATACACGGACAGGATATCTGCACAGAAGCGATTTCCTGTTTGCTTGTCAAGTGCTCTCACTTTCCTCCATGACCTCTTGTTTCCTGAGAGAAGACAAATACTGAGGAAGTGTCATTCTCTTCTTTAGCCCCTGTTTCGTGCTGCACCCCAATTTATGAGTCTAGAATGAATTGTTACCAACATACACAAATGGATATTTTGCTAAAATACATAAAGAGAGTGTAGCTGTCGTGAAGCCACAATTATAAACGGAAACCACCGACTGCTATCTAGTGAGCCTCGCAATTGAACAGATTTCAAAGATTACTGGACTACTGTGGAAAAAAGCAAGTAGCAGGATAAGTGCTTCAAGATGGGTTAAAACTTGAACCTAAACCATCTAGCCCAGCCCAACAACCTGTTCATTCAAGTGTGTCAAGCAAGTACAGACGTGCCTGCAAATATAACTACAAATGTGTTTAAGCACAAATGAAAATGGCATGCCAATATAGGTTTTTTCTTAACCACATTTTCCATTGTTGCATTTACAGTACAACCTGCAATACTACAGCACAGAAGGGAGGGCATAATGTGCTGCTTTATTTAGTTAACTTACAAAGAAGTTTCCACCCACACAACTCTCTCTGATTTATTACGGTAGAACCTCACGGATACATTTCCATCGTGCACTATTTCCTCGTTGCCAGTATTCGCAATATCGTTTAGAGCGCAACTCCACGATGTTTTAGTGAATTAGGATTTGTACGTTTTCCCAGACAGTGCATCACCCTTTCTTTATTTTTTTTTTGTTTTCAGAAGTGAACAAGGTTTTAGCGTTTACCAGCTTGCATCAAGTGACAACCAAAACCACAACAGCCACGCCCCGAAATTGTTTCATCGTCTTACAACACACACGCGTGACTGGAAAACGATGCCGCAGACGAAGAAGCCAAGCCGCCCACTTTCAAGTGACTCACGCGAGACGACGACTACGCTCGAAATCGCGGACAACGCACCGCGCAGGCGAAACGGGAACCCCGGACATACAACAGGAACGCCTTCGCGCAACAAAGGCAGCGAGTGTAGCAGTAGTAGTAGTAGAAGTAGTAGTAGAAGTAGTAGTAGTACAAGGAAGCGTTCACGCCGCCCCACTCGCGTTCTTAGACGCAGCATCCGGCGTTCGGCCCGGCTCCAAGTACAAGGAAAGTGCGAACGCAAGCAGTAGGACGCCTGGGTTCTGGCGTTCCTTCGGTTGAACGCTAGCAGCAGGGCGTCTCGGTGCTAGCGTTACGCTAGCATAGAGGCCTCTTTGCCAGCAGTCAATGCGAGCACTGAGGTACCGGCCCGAAACACTTTCCCTTAGCCCAAGACGAAACGGAGGTGGCATATTCCAAATATAGACACGCCAGACCGGCCCTTCTTAGCGAAACAAAAGCGCATGCCTTTGTGTCATCGTAGGTGCCTCGCGTTTTCTGAAGACCCCTTATCGCTGGCGACTCCTCGGTGTATGGCGAGATGCGCTCTCTAGCGCGGGGGGGGGGGGGGGGGTGAAGAGAATGGTTTTTTTTTTTTCTTGGAGTCAAGCGCACACGCTCGCGATGCAAAAAACAATCAGAAGCACCATCTCTCTTTTTCGTCGGTTGTTGTTGCCGAGCACAGGCGCGTCTCAATAGCCCACTACGGCAAACAAGCGAGTCGCACGCACACACAAACGTTCATACAAGCGCGTATCACCAGTAACATCAACAGGTCACCGATAGCAAGCAGCTGCACGCAACTTTGTCACTCTGTTGTGCAACTTGGGACTGCGACCTGGCAGGGAGCCGACTAATTTCGGATGCAGGTGAAGAGCCACCAGACGTTTCCTGCTTTCGCGATGCGTGCATAAAAAAGCGACAAATAAAACGGCAACTCTGTCGAATGATAGGGTGCGCCGCTTGCCAACTAAACTCTATGGGCGGCTGTGATCGCTCGCGCGCACACTCGCATACACAACACGGACACGACCGTGCAGCTTCGTTTTCAGCTCCAGATTCTCACGACAGAAAACGATCAGCTTCTACGTCGTAGTTTGAGATCATTCCTGTGGACTGTGGTCAATCAGGAAACGAGAACCGAAGGATATGCTTTCGCGATTCTGGTTCCAGCTGAGTGCTGTAGGTTTCGCATGAGGAGCCAATTAAAAGGATCAAATCGCAGGTTCAGCGAGGCTTACCTATCTTCTGGCCGACGGGCGTGTTGAAGGGGTTTCCCCCGAGCTGGGCTAAGAGCGCGGACATTTTTGCGAACTCCGTGGCCCGGTCGCGTCTCTTGGCGCTCCACTACGGGTCGTTGCGGCAATACACAACGCAGCACCCTGTGCTTATCGCATTAAACGAAAAGCGTCCATTAGCGGCACGGCGAAAACAGTCGGCTCTCTCATCCTGTTCCGATTAGTTTCGTATTCAGGGGAAGAACGCCGTCTGCCGCCGTTTCAAAGAAAACGAAAGCGAAACAAACCACACTGAGCAAAACTACGTTTTTGGACAATGTGGCACTAATTATTCGCAATGTTTATTTTTAAGCAAACAATCTCAAAATAAGACGCGTACGCATACTATTTTTATGCCGCGCCACTGCATTCACGGCTTTATTAATCTATTTTTACGAAATGCCAAACCTTATGCTGAATTTCATTTCAGCCTTGTTGGTTTCATTGTCGGTAAAAAACAATAATGCTAAATACATGGCGTGAACAGACAAGACGTACCACAAAGAATATATAGACGCGACTCACGTAATCTTCGTGTCCCCATAATTCATGCGGTACCTCGAATCGATGGATGCAAAACACGACGCTAAAAAATATGGGCGCGCATCAACTTGCCGCACGTGAGAGGTCATTTAGAGCTTATCTTAGCTGCTCAATAAGCATAGCAAACGCCGTCTTCATTGAGATAATTTCGCGAACAATATTTCCACAACTAGTCTTTTTAAATATGGCGGCTGCGTGAGACTGCAGCGCCATCTTTGCTAAAGTATTTTGGATTTGTGCATTTATCAGGAACTCCGAGCGGCGCAGCCGCTCCCACTTGTTCGACGCTACGCAGCTTTTCGGGACAGCGCCGACGGCACGAATATTTTTTTAGATCGCTTACGCAGCAGTCTGCCACAGATAAAAATTGTGTCGCCGTTTTCTTCCAAGAGTTGGCTTTCCTGTGGTGGCTTGTGAATCAAGATACAACGCATCTGTCCAGTGGTCCTCGATCAAAGAGCAAGGAATCATGTGGTGAAGGTAAGCAAAACAACGTGTGTACTAACTCACGGATAAGGATTTTTTAACAACATTGCTAAACCTAGCCAGCTGAACCAGGAATATCGTTACCGACAGCCAGGTTTTAGCGTGTGTTGCCGTCGGAGGCTGCGATTTCCGACGCGTGATGTTTATTTGTCGCTCTCTCTTTTCCTGTCGCTTTTATGCGGAGATCATCAAGCCTCAGTGGGGCGTAGCGCGCTTGCCAAGTTTTGCGGTATGCCGCAATTTCAGCTTCCCTCTATCTACCGCTGTCGTTCTGCCTTGTACGGCAAATGCTCGTCGTCTGCTCGTGCACGAGACACCAATGGGCACGCGCCTCTGTGAATGACGTCATAAGATATGTGGGCGTGCCGTCGCGAAACCACCTGCGCTACCGCGGCTGCCGGTAGGGCCGAACTGGGACCGCATTTTCCGCGAACCTCTTGCTTTGACTCCAAAGAATGAGTTATTCTCTATATATATATAGATAGTGTGGGTAAATTTACAGTTGCTGAACTTACAATAAGGGCACATATTGTCGCGTGCTCCCTTAGGTACGAATTCGGTACAAGATGAAGGCTATTGATGATTAACAGTGCTCAAACGTGGAATGTCACTGAATGTCACGTTTTGAAAAGGTTACTTGTCTTCCTCGAGGTTTCGTCAACAGTGCTTTCAGCGGCATTTTTTAACGGCACTATTTGTTTTGCGTGCTATAGGTGTCGCATCAGTTGACAGATGGCGCCGAGATCGCTTGTTAACCCACTTCTGCTAAGGACAAATCGTCTGTCGTCTGCCCAAATCCTGACATTTTCGCCACTTCCGTAGTTAAAACGCTGTTAGTGTTATAGTGAACTAGAAAGTCAGTGTGTTGCGTAAAACGCAAAACTGCGTGAACAAGAATGGCCGAAGATGTGGAGTGTGTCTTATCATTAGCAGAGTGCAACGCACCGCGAAAACACAATCTTTATTATCTTGTAGTCCACTCGGTCGCAGTCACGGTTCAGCAGAGCTGCTTTCCTTTTTTAGGACAATAGGCTTATTCAGTCCATGTTCTGTAGCAGGGTGTGGCAATATCCGGTTTCTGATTTAATATGCGGGCCGGAGGCAGTGCGGTAACGTATTGGCTCTCTATAGGTACTCTCCTAGCATTGGTCTGTGCCCATCAAACTCCCATGTCTGTGCCCATTAATGTTAAATGTTGACCGAACAATGGATATTGCTGACTTTTTCTGATGTAAATATTCACTGAAAATGACCTCCATCTCTTATTTGTTTTTGCTTGGTCGCGAAAATACATTTTCGCAAACGCTGAAAAGGCAACTTGAACCGGTTTTTTTTTTTTCGTTCATTATGTTTAACTGAGCCCTTGTTTTTTTTTTTAACTGCCTGTGTTGAGCGCGTTTTATGTTTCGCATTACGTTAGATTCGTTATAAAGTTTATACATCTGTCCCTGCACTTTCATCTGCGGTATAAATAAATAAATAAATAAATAAATAAATAAATAAATAAATAAATAAACGTCAATGCTCGCTTCTATTGCTGTAAGATCGCTAGTGATGGCGAAGTGAATCGTTGCCGGATTAGCCTAGTAACGTTGCGCTAAGTGGCTAATTAAGTCTAATAACTTAGTCTATTAACTTTGGGCTAATTGCTGGTAAGTGTTGGCCCACGTTGATTAGTGTTGAAGGAGCATTGTCAGAAATATTTTTATGGGGGTGGGGGGTGAAAAACACTTGATGTGCCTGACACGTCTTGATTCATGCCCTTGGAGGGCTGTATGTTCGTGTGCCGCGCATTTGTACGTGTCAATATATATATATATATATATATATATATATATATATATATATATATATATATATATATATTATGTGGGCTCATAATCATGTGGTAGTTTTGGGACGTTAAACCCCACATATCATATCATCAAAGTTGAAAGATTTTGAAGGGGGCCTGGCTACCAATGTAATATAGTGCTCGCCATCTGCTATTATTACACAACACTTTATTGTTGCAGTACATAAAATATACAGCCGAGGGTCTCAAGGTGCAATACTGCAGTAGGGCGGCAAGTTGGACCAGTTGGTTGGGATTCATCGTGTACTTGGTTTAAAGCACAATACTAGAAACGCGGACACAATGAAGGAGCAATGAAAGGGGAAATACGGCTCTGACTCAAGTGATCTTTATTGAAAATTGAAAAGTCGCAAATCTGGCGTTAGTATTCACTAAAACTGCTGCATCGTCCTTGAATTAGGCGAGCAATCCTCGTTCAGTCGTCGTTCATGTGTTGCGTGTAGCTAAGCGTGAGAGCTATTCTTTTGAATTCGACTGACTTATTATGTATTTTTATTTTACCGACTAGGAAGAGTGACAGGCGACAGCTGTGCGTCCGCGTCGGGGCGGCTGTCCAGATGCGATTGCGGCAAACGTGAAGTCGTCTCAACTTTCTTTATTTTTGTTTTTAATTTATCCGTCTCAAATTTTGTACAAAGCTGTACAGTGCGCGCTGGGAACAAAAAAAAATGTCCATCCAAGTTCTGCCCCTAATTTATTAATTTTTGTTTTCGTGGTTATTGAGCAAATTAGCATCGTTGTGCACTGGCCTGGTCAACAGGGTTATTACTGTAGTTACGCGATCGCAGCGCGAGGAATCGAGATTGCGATCTCAAGTCCAGATAAGGACACACAGAAGAAAGTAAGAACATCACCCTTGTACGGCCGTTCTCTCTTCTTGTGTGATGTCCATATGCGCCCAAATATTTTCCAGAAGAGCGCGCCCAACAAAGCATTTTATTTAGTCACCACAAAGACGTTTGTAGTGTCCGGACTTCTCTTTTATGTCCGTGTTTGCACACCCAGTCTCTTTTGGAATGAAAACGTACCAACTATACTCAGCTCTCTGTTATTCTCAGTGATAACTATTTCCGCGCTTATCGGCGGCGTCTCGATATGATGGCCATATCTTTCACCTCGAACCCGTTACACAATGCAAGTAGCGCAACAAAACGGCTTGTAGTCGCGTATACTTGTATGGCGCCACATCCCGGCTTCAGCTTGATTAAGGGAGATAGAAACTTCGTGCACGGTAAATATTTTCTCATAATTGTTCAGTGAATCATTATAGCCAGGATAGCTGCATCAATTTATACACATTGACGCTAATACACGCTTCAAGCGTAAGCTGCAGATGATTATGCCACCTTTACGCTCATGGTGGCCTGGAAAGAGGAACAGTGCTGAGCGGCCTTCCTTGTTTTCCTCATGCACTATAGGGTGAGCTCAATCAAGCGTTTTTTTTAATAATTTGATAGCTATTGATCAATTAGCTCTCGATTGTGATAGCTAACTGCCTAATACATGCTATAGGGTGAGCTCAATCAAGCGTTTTTTTTAATAATTTGTTAGCTATTGATCAATTAGCTCTCGATTGTGATAGCTAACTGCCTAATACATGCTATAGGGTGAGCTCAATCAAGCGTTTTTTTAATAATTTGTTAGCTATTGATCAATTAGCTCTCGATTGTGATAGCCAGTTGCCTTATATTTTTGTGGCTGTTCTATCACAGGGTATTGACTGAGCTTTAAGGGACACTAGAGAGTTCCGAAACGCCTGCCACGCTTGGTAGGCGAGAACACGCGCGCTTTAACAGAAAGTGAATGAATTCTTGAAGGAAGGGAAGAAGCGGATAATTTCCTTCTGGATGGAAGGAGGGAATAGCAGAAAGATGAGATAGGTCAGGAAGAAGAGAGATGAAAAACGGGGAGAACACAGTCGCAGGAGGACGGGCACGCTCGGCGAGAGCCAGGCGATTTCTTCGAGCCATGGACCTGCCGTTATTTTTCCTCGCCGCGATCACCCCTACAAAGTTAAACGCTTAAACTGTAAGTCATCTGCTTTTTCCAAGTCATTCATTCCGCGTACCACAATCGATTGGAATAATCTACCATCACACAGTGCCTTAGAAAAAAACGCCACGAAATTTCAAGAACTAATTCAAAATACTGACATCATCTAACTTTTGCTCTTTTACTTGTTTTTCCCTCTTTTCTATAACGTGCAGAGCACACGTGTAGTATTTTTACCTTGATTCAGCTTATTTGAGGTGTGATGAGTGAGTGTATATTTTTTATTCGTTTTTGAGTGTACGCTTTATTTTTTTTATTTTTATCAAGTGTATTGATTATTTTTTCTTGCATTTTCATAGGTTGTTCACTGTGTACTTATCTGTATTCCAATGATTTGTTGCCTATTCTTTTCTCTATTTTTGCTGTCTTTACCAATTACTTGTTATAACATATATCTCAACCTTAGTCTGTATTTAATTTGAGTTTTTTTACCTTTTTTTTCGTTTTTGACGTTTATTGTTTGTAATTTTGCTCATGTAACCCCCCCCCCCCCCCCTATGTAATACCCTCTCACGAGGGCCTTTAGGGGTATTATGAATAAATAAATAAATAAATCACTGCAGGCCGATTTCAAGCTGAGCGGTCATGCCGCGGACGACACGGCCGCTCAGCTTGAAACGCACCGCGCGAGTTTCAGAAAACGGGTCCAAATGTGGTTGGCAACGCCCCATTCTTCCGCACCAGTCGACATGACGTCATCAACATTGACGGTGTCCACTATTGTCCCCACGTAGTTTCCAATTGGTTTAGTCTCCTCGTGGTGGTATAGATAAAGTATTCGTCCCAAGTTTCAAAAAAAAAGTTTGCTGTAACCATGGGGCCGAAATACGGGTGAGGCATTTTAAAGTATATTGACGCCACGTGTGGTGATTTTGGCGCTAAGTTTAAAAATAAAATCTTGACCTTGATTTTTACTTGTAATAATGAGCATATGATAGTTAAATGGAGGACAATTATATTTGCAGAGTATAATTTCTCAGTTTGTTCCTTCGCACCAATGCAAACGTAAAATTTTTCTATATCTATACCCTGTACAGAGAGGCCAGATCGAGTGTCCGACTCTGGTACCTCTTCCTGTATATTGAATTGCAATAACTTTATTTTATAGAAATATTAAAATTACTGATTTTGCTTCTGGACTGGCTTATTTTTTCACTTTAGTATCGCTCTAGAAAGCCTCAATCATGATATTCTTACCGCCAGAATACTGTCCCGAATACCGTCCAACCATCTTGTGCATATGCGGCATCACTTTGTCGTGTATACGGTTCACAATGTTTTAGCCGTTCAACCGGCAGCCTGCATGACATGACCAAAATAAGAAAGCTTTATTTTAATTAGTTTGAGGACATGCCCGCGCCATAAATGCAGGCAGGAACTTAGTAACAATGTCTCTCTTGCCGCTAATGCATTACTCGAATACCATTTTGAGGCGTCGTGGACTTGTAGTGGCTGCTATAACTGTCACATCCGACTTCCATGCTTCCTGTTTTCAAGAGCAGACGAATTTTTTTTTTACTTTTTTCAGCCTTAAGAGAAACTCACTGATACGACACGGTGTTTGCTTTCCATTTCTTTGGCTCTTGACTTGCGCCATGTTAAGCCATGTGATGTTGGTATTGAAAATAGGTCGCGCAAGACAAAATGATCATTAATGCAGGTCGACAGTGTCGTAAAGAAAACAGCGTAAAAAGAAAGCAGATAACAGGAAAAAGTAAGACGCAGCCAACAGCACCGATTTAAAGTAAAGGCTCATTCGTCTACACCGCGCAATATACACCTGCGCAATCCAAAACAAGTATCAACACAGAAATGATAATATAAACAACTATCAGCATGGCCACAGAAAATTGTGCACATTGCGTGTGCAATCATGAGAAGGTTAATCGGTGTCCTTGTCTGACAAAGCATTTTTTCCGCTATGTCGTATTAACACGCCCAAGCATGCATCTACATCGAGGTAAGTTTAAGTGTGCGAATGGGGATAAGTTTAAATGTACGTTGTGGGATCCTCTGTGCCAATACAATAATTTAATATTCGCGTTCCGTACATACCACCAGGGAACCAACTTAGTATTGGGCCAACTTAGAGTGTTGCTCGAAGTAAGCTGAAGTCGTTAATTTGCAATTATTAATTACGAGGTCTTTTACCCTTTGTATATCGGCGTTAGAAAGTATTGTAGTTATCTAATGCCGTGATTTGAAACATGGGCGTTATTTCAGCAAGCATCAATGCCAACATTTCAAAACGACTTTTAAGGTAAACCGTTTACTTGCTTAGTCACACGTCAATAATCTGTACGTATGAACGCCAGGATGCAAATAATCAAAGTGTATTTTTTTTTAACAAGAGAAAACAGATTAAGGAGGAGCGAGCCCTGTAGAGAAGGGTGTTTCAGCTTCGTCGGTTACTTGTTGGGCCAACTGTTGCCTCCTTCATTATTAGTGGCGGCATTTACCCCACTTCTGTGGTTCTCATCCATTCGCTACGTCTCGCATTTATACAACGCCGGAAGACAACACTACCGAATGTTGCGTGCTACTGTTTAGGTCGGAATCAAGTTTAGTGTAATGATAGTAATCGTAACATATTTTGTTTCCCGTCCACACAGCGCGATATGATCACGAGGCACGCCTTTACAGTGGAAGGCTGGTGTTCTTTAACGTGCGCCGACATCACACAGCATGCATTTCGCCTCCATGCATCGAAATGCGACCACCGGGATCGCAACTTTCGGGTCAGCAGCCGAACACCGAAATCACAGGTCCACCGTGGCGGACTATAAGTTTAGTGTAGTTTACTCAGTACACGTTCGCCAGATTTTGGGACTTTTCTACGTATCGTTGTCTCTCTTTCTTGTGCACTGCCGATTACTTTAACACGTGGCCGCGTCTTCTGTGCCACGCAGGTGTCTTCCGCGGGTTTCAGCTGAAATCCAGCGAACGGAGTGTCCACCATGGCGCCTGGAGCCTACGCCGAGTTGCGAACGCAACAGGCCGACGTGCTACGTCGCCTACCTCAGGTGGTTATTATTATTATTATTATTATTATTATTATTATTATTATTATTATTATTATTACTATTACTATTACTATTACTATTACTATTACTATTATTATTATTATTATTATTATTATTATTATTATTATTATTATTATTATTATTATTATTATTATTATTATTATTATTATTATTATTATTATTATATTATTATTATTATTATTATTATTATTATTATTATAGGAGACAGGTGGTCAGGTCAAATGGGACGGCTGGCGCATTTCCTGCAAAAAGACCATTGCTGCTTTGAGATTTAGAAAAAGGCGATGGCTGATAGTTTTTGCAGAGCGATGAAATGCGAACCATTCCGGCGGGAAAACCGAAACGCAGACCATCGCAGCTGCCGCACAGTTCAGACATCCGGAATCGGAAAGTGTATGGCAGGAGCGCAGGTAGAATATATATATATATATATATATATATATATATATATATATATATATATATATATATATATATATATTATATATATATATTTATATATATATATATATATTGGGGGGGGGCGGTATCTTTTTGATACGGAAAGAGCTGGGAGGGGCAGTGAGAGAAATGGCTATTTTGCACCCGCCTTGTGTGAAATGGCGAAAAAAAAAACATTTTTTGGGCGGGGGGGGGGGGGGGCGCACGGACTTATGTTGCCGCCTCCTGGCTACGCCACTTATGGATGCACGTCGCTTCGGGCAACGTTTCTAGACTAGGTAGGTAGTTCTAGAAACGTTGGCTTCGGGTGCGTGCATGCTGCGCTTGCGCATTCCCAGAATTCGGGAACTACCGCACGTGGCCCCATCTCTCGGTTGCAGCAACGGCGCCCTGCCACAACTGAATGGGAAATATAGAAAAAAAAATCTGTCAACACACAAAAAAAAGCTAGTTATCAAAAACGGCGTCCGGCTGTATGCAGCACATACACGCTGGAGCATTCTGGTAAAATGAAAGCATCGCACGACTAAGCGTGGGACTTCCCAACCGTTGTGAATACATGTGGCCCCATAGCAAAATATTAAACACTCTGGGAGTCCATATCGCAAATGTATCGTTTTCGTTTCGTATTCTTTCCGCGTTGATCGGCAATATTCGCAGCGCCTCCTGGGACCGACCGTTAGCATGGTTCCGTATCGCCACACGCGATTCGCTGATCGCTATTTCGGCCTCAGAGATGGCCACCTCCTCGGCCGTCTCTGCGTGCTGGGTTTTAACCGTAACGCTCGTCTTGCCTTCGTGATCGACCACCGCATGAGCCACAAAGCCGCGCTGCTGCGCGTAACGAGCCGCGTCAACGAAGACCGCTTCTTTGCACTTGCCGAATTTCCTCCGCGAATCCTGCGCCCGTCCGTTTCTCCTGCCATGCGCGATACTCCGAGTGTATATTTCTCGGTAACGGAGGGACCACTATTCTGTCCCTCACCCTCGCAGGCACGTCTGCCTTTTCTCCGTGTTGCGTATGATAACCTATGCCTACTTGTTCGAGGATGTACCTGCCCGTTTTCGTTTTTGAAAGTCGTTCGAATTGGGCTATGTTGCGCGCTTCTACCGATTCGCCCTGGCCGGCAACGAGGCGGCTCTAGAGCTCACGAACCGAGCAGCTGCGCATGCCGCCTCTACCGAGGCCACACGCGGACAAGTGTGGGAGTGGGAGGAACGTACGACTAGCTACAGTGAGATTACGCAGCACTACAAGCTCGCTAGGCGTAAATACCCATTACCACATCAGCAAATTAACTAAGAAGCAGTCAGTTGCATGGAGGCAACTCCAAACAGACACTTTACCAAATCCAGGGATCTTTCGCCTCTGTTACCCTGACCTGTATTCGACAGATAAATGCAAAGCATGCGATTCCCGGGCAACCCTGGGACATATGTTATGGGAGTCCTCGAGTCTCAATGACGCAGTCGGCAGTACAAACGAGGACGCAGTCTCGAACCGCAGGGCGCGCTGGGAGACGGCTTTGCTCAGCTCCGCATTAGAACAACAACAATGGGCCGTCCAGAGAGTTGAGGAAGCCGCCCAAGCCCAAGGGCTTGCGGCCGATGCCTGGGCCGCGGTTCAAGCCCGCCCCGAATTATCATCGCCGGACTCTTAATAAATGTTGTTTCTCTCTCTCTCTCTCGGAGTCCACGGGGTTAAAAGTGCGACGCTGTAATTTTGCAAAAAAAAAAAATGTTTATGAGGGTCTCTGCTTTATGTAACTGGGAGTCATTTTTGGTGACTAGCTTATTTCGTCAGATGTATTTTTCCTATTCAGTTACGGCGGGCCACCGCTGTCCCAGATGAGCCCAAATCCTGGTCATGTGATTAAGCACGCAAACCATCCCCAGTCTACAAATGCAAAAGAACTATATCACTTTAGGAAAAAGTGATGTCATTCTGGCCGTCTGCCATTTGCGCTCAACGACGCTCCGTTTTGGTTTAGCCGGTGAATTAATTTCAGCACCCTGTATTCATTACTGAGAGCCCACTTTTTGGAAAGCGGCAAGGGCTTTTTGCAAGAAGTACTCGAATTCTACCATTTCACCCCGCTACGCACCTCATCTAAATAAAAAGTTATTTACTGCAGTTTCTACAATTAATAATCTAATGACTGTGTATAGTAATCTTCACAAGTCTGTCGCTTTGAAAAAAGTAATTATACAGGCAGTGAGCAACTATCTCATTTCCCTTACTTTTGACGATCATCGGGCGCATTTGTTGAAACAGCCTTTATAGGTTTGTAGTTGAATGGTCAGATTTAGTGCAAGTAACATTTAGAGTGTCACAGTATATAGATGGATGATAACGCTACATTAAAGAGAAATTTCTTTTATTATTGATGTACGAAAAAAATATGAGACGGTAGGCTTCGTTAAAGCCGGGTAGTCCAACGTATATACTATGGTAGAAAATTCTTTTCGGGACTTCGTTTTTCGTGGCATTGTTCTATTCATGAATATGTTCTAAAGATAGAAAAAATATATAGCTTTTTACAAACAAAATGTTTGCTGATTTAAATACTTAGACAATTTAAAGATGCTTATATAAGTTACCCTGATAATAAAATAGACGCACAACGTAAGTGCTATAAGGATGCATTTCAGAAAATGCCAAAAGAGCCGTTTTTAATCGAGCTCATAGCTTGTACGTCGTAGATGAATGAATGAATGTATGAATGAATGAATGAATGAATGAATGAATGAATGAATGAATGAATGAATGAATGAATGAATGAATGAATGAATGAATGGCTCTTATAAACTTTAAAAGTCTGGAATCTCGGATTCAGCCGAAAGGCTGTTTCTGAGTCCACAATTTCCTAATCAATTCATAACTGAGCGGTCTGTTTACTTCTACGGCCCTTTTTCCATCTAAACATTTTATTCAGTACGATTTTACCAATTCAATTGTCTTTGTTTTCTTAATAACGCACGTGATAGCATTTGTCACAGCACTTCTTTTCTTGATTGTTATTTCAGTTCATTTTATTTTAACTTATATTGATTGAACTATAAGTTCTTCATCTCTTAATTCCACGTGGTGGGTATGAGCTTTCAGAGATAAAGGTATGTCTCAACAGAATAAAACCCTATGTCTGGATGGAAGATCGTGCTTGGGTCTAAGCTCCGTATGTCTCAGCAGTGGCGGCGAAACAGGGGAGTCGGGTAATCCTATAAAAAGGTGCTCTCGAAGAACACCTTTCGAAGATAACAAAGGCCTTCGCGAGATTCCACGTGATTTGGGACGTGACGCGTTGCGTTCGCTGCCAGCCGCTTTTCTGCCCCTCTGACAATTGAAGTGTCACTATGCATAGACCTCTGCTATAGTGTATAGGGGAGACCCACGCCGAGGGAGGCGCTGCGGAGCGTGGCGCTGTCCGTCAATGCGGAGAGAAAACTGGTTACTCGAGTCTTCGCCCCTCCGCTGTCCCATTCAACCTGCCTTGAAAACGCGCTTCTTTGCTCGCGCGCTGCACGCGTTCTGCACGTGTTTTTGAGAGTTTCGCGTCGCGTGCGGTGCGCTCTGTCCGCATTTATTAGGATGCCGCAATTGAGGATTTTTTTTTCGTGGCAGCAATTTAGTAAAAGGGCAGCGAAGCAAGTTGTAGCAGACGACGCCGTCCTCGTCAGAGCGAAGTGCGTTTCGCAAGTGAAAGACGACGCTGTTTACGACGTTAGAGGTGAACAAAATTTTCTGTACGTTCATAATTATATACCTGTTTTATTTGGTTCACTCTGTGTACTATGCACTATGTTTGTTCCTGGATGCATGGGTAAGGCCGCTTCTCGTGCTTTAGGTTAAGCGGTTCTTGCGCTGTGACTGCTATTAGTTGGGATACCTGAATTTACTAGCACCCACCCAAGTTATCGTGCAGTGTATACACAACACTTCAAAAATAAATGGTCTATTTGGGGCTTCTTTCTGACCCACAACAATAATTGACATCTATCTCGCGTGTCTTTCCTTGCATTATCACCGTTCTCATCGCGGGTACCTTGAGTTCACGAACAGCGTGCCATCATGATGAGCGCCCAGCTTTCAGAGAAACTTTTTTGTGTGTGTCTAATCTGCAGGGGAAGAGCGCATTGCTATAAAGGCATTTTATCTTGGTCACGTATCAAAAATGCACCGTGTTGTTCGGGCTGCCCCTGCACACTCAGTAACCACTAGTTCACTGTATCTGCCAACGGACGTGCAACAACGGCTAATGCATTTTTTTCTTTTTTTCATAGTTGCCCAAGCTTTTGGCAACCACACACTTCCGTCGGCGCTACGTAGATTTAAAAATATATAACAACACATTACCAATACCACATGTGCACACAGCTTCAATTACTACGTCCCCAACAATATCGAATAATAGTAGCAGCATAAAATATTTATTCACTATTTTTTAACAGTGGTCTAAAGACGGGCGTTGAAAAATCTATACTTTTAAGATGGGGACGTGCATCTCCCAGTAACTCGATAGATTAGAGAAACGGTGACGCTGGAATTAACACACGTAATTTTGAATGCATTGTGCGCGTGCTAATTTTTATGAAAAAAAAATTGTTTGCATACTTTTTTCGGCGCACTGCTTTAATCCATTTCTGTCGTCTGCTTGTTTCGTACCATCGGTTTGGGAATCGGTAGAATTTCACTGGTGGAGTCGACCTCTTCGTGTTTGCGTGGTTATTGTGACAGTTGACGACGCAGCGATGTCACTTCCTTTTCTGTTGGGTGACTTTGCGGAACTGCCAGCCGCTTTTCTGCCCCTCTGACAATTTCATTTCATTTCATTTCATTTATTTACTCTCAAGGCCGAAGCATTACAGAGAGGAGCGGGTATACATCGTACAGAAAATCAGGAAATACAGCAAATCAAAATTACATGCGCACAATGGCGATCTGAAAACCATAAAGGAAAAGAAAGACTGCGTAATGTGAAGAAGAGGCAGAAGAATTGAAGTGTCACTATGCATAGACCTCTGCTATAGTATATATATAGGGTGTCCCAAACCCGTTACGGTGGTCTAGTGCTTATGGTGCTCTGACCCGCGTGACATGGGATCAAATCGCGCTCGTCGCGGCCGTTAGAGGCGAAAATGCTTGAGACCAGTGGGCTTAGATTTAAGTGCACGTCAAAAAACCACAGGTGGTCGAAATTTTCAAAGCCCTACTGCGTCTATCATAATCGTATGGTGGTTTTTGTACGCTGAACCCTAACAGTTATCAAGGCAGGGTGTCCCAAACCCGTTACGGTGGTCCAGTGCTTATGGTGCTCTGACCCGCATGACGTGGGATCAAATCGCGCTCGTCGCGGCCGTTAGAGGTGAAAATGCTTGAGACCAGTGGGCTTAGATTTAAGTGCACGTCAAAAAACCACAGGTGGTCGAAATTTTCAAAGCCCTACTGCGTCTATCATAATCGTATGGTGGTTTTTGTACGCTGAACCCTAACAGTTATCAAGGCAGGGTGTCCCAAATATCACGAATATCACGAATAATAATAATAATAATAATAATAATAATAATAATAATAATAATAATAATAATAATAATAAAGAGGAACGTCGTCACGGGTTGCACACTTAGTACATATTCCTCCCAGTATGCTCTACTTCTAACTTCTTCGTTAACGAGATCCTGTTAATTAGTCACTGTTGTGTTTCTAAAGTACACACCGAATCGTTCATGTGTCTTGAGATGTCATTAAGATGGTCAAAATTTCCGGGGTGCTCAACTACGGCGTCCCTCATAATCATAAGGTAATTTCGGGACGTAAAACCCCACCTATTATTATTGTCGATTGCCAAGACGAGGCACCACAGCTCGACGCTCCTCTTGGCGCAGGGCCTCCGCACCTGGACCGACGAGCTGCTGAAGCGGCAGGCCCGCGATCTGACCTTCCACTTCCCGGACGACGTGACGCGACGCTACCTGTACGAGTCGTGGGTCGGCTACTTCGGAGGCGAGGCCTGCGTCGGGGCGTCCCTGGACCGGCTCGTGCTCAACTGCATCGTGGCCACGCCCTCGCCCTCGAACCCCGCGGTGCCCCTGTTCGTCGACATCGTACTCGGAGGTGCGAGTCTGCAGGTAGCTGACCGAGGCAACAAGCCTGCAGCAGGTGCCACTCCTCCAAAGATCGTCGTCTCCACAGGTTTCTCGTGGTTTCTTTTCAATCAATCAATCAATCAATCAATCAATCAATCAAGTTTATTTTTTCACAATACACTCTACAAAACAGGCATATACAGGAGGAGGTATCGAAGTGTAAACTGAATTCACCTCGTGTAGCGTGACTGTAAACATAAATATTGGGGACAAGGGTAGCAAGGCTTAGTGCGTTACAAAATTTTAAATAATGCCATACAGATATACGCGAACGATGATATTAACGCCAACAATGCATCGGCGGTAATTGAAACTAGGGGCGCGAATACGCGAATAGATGTGCTCATGGAACGCGAGAGGTCACGGTCGATGGCGGCGGTGTAAACACGAGTTTACCAAAAACAAAAGTTATCATGCAGTGACGTTACCATATGACGTCATGAAATTGAATGTCTCTAGAAATTGGTGACGTCGTCGTGACATCACCATGATGACGTACGCGACGTCATACGATGACGAAGGGATACGTGTCAGCGCAAGCAAAGAAACGAAGACGCACGAAAAGGAAGCAACAAGATAATGACGTAGCGCGTAAAATATGCGAGACAAGGGAAGGGACAAAGGGCGAACCTTTCCGATTGTTGTCAAGAAGCAGAAATGTTTGATCTTTTTTTTTCCTACCGTATTCGTTTGACGTGGACAAACTCGTCCAACAAGTATTACTCAGTCATACGTATGACGTCATCGCACGTCATGTTCACTCGGTCAAAAGTGAGCCGATCTCAGAGGAAGTGCACGTCGGAAGTGCAGATTTTTTTTGCGCAGCTTTGTATCTTCCAGACTCCAGCACGCCTAAATTTAAGCAAACGGGCGTCAAGTATATTCGCCTCCATTGAAAATGCGACCGCCGTCGATACCGTGACTTGCGCGTCAACAGTGGGGCACCATAGCCACTAGACCGCCGTGGCTGGTCGATTTTGGAGACAGTGCTGAACCGCAGTAGGTGCAGCAAGGTTTCGGCGGCAGAGTCGATACAATCGACTCAGATGAAAAACATGAGTTTCGCCTTGGGGTCATCTGAGGAAAAGGACCCAGTCACTTTTATGAGGCGAGACAGCTTAATTCTTGCCAAGGCTGGGCACATGAATATACAGACCACGCTGACTTATTCAATAGCGCTAAAGAAAGAGGCACAAGAATAGAGAAGAAATCACACCGTCCCATACGTATTTACCTTTGATGACTCGAAGGCGAAAACCATCTTCACTTCTTTCTCAGTCGATATAATCGATCACGCTCAGTTTGCTAATGTTGAGCAAATGCTCGATGACATTACCCAGTGTGGATAAATGTTGACTCTTATCTATTATAACAGCAACGTCACATTCATTGTGTATCGCTCCGGCGACTGAGTTACCTACCATTTTTCTTTCTAATGAATTTGGTAGCTTTAGCATTGAATCGCAGACTTTTATGCTTAAAATTCGGCTCCTGGCTATTGGTCATCACTCTATACCTTGCACAACAGCCGTACTCATAATGTTTCTACAGCTCTAAAGTTACTCAGCATCATCTTTGTAATTAGGTGCTCTTGTGAGAAGTGCACTTATTTGTATTGTAAACTAGTGGTTGTTGGCTACTATACTGGTGTTCTATAGTCACGCAATTCCCTCTTTTACCTCCAGGTGAGGCGGGCGTGAAGGATGCTCCTGTTGCTGCGAAGGACAAGAACGACTCTGCAGACGAGCAGAAGGACACGACTTCCAAAGACACTCAGTCAGGAAGGGCTCAAGACACAGACACCACGACGTCAACTAAAACTAAAGTCGAAGACAGGAAACAAGCCGATAAAGACAAGACGAACACCGTAACAACCAACTCGACAAACACCGATGAAAAGGATGCTACGCCCGCAAAGAAGAAGCCCGAAGGCGCAAAGAACGTAACGAGTGATGTCCGAGACGACGAGAAGGTATCCAAGACTTCCACGTCTGAGGTCGCGGCTAGCCCGGCCCACCAGGACGACCCCAAGAGGCCGGTGACCTCGCAGTCGACATCTGGCAAAGTCGTCAAGGTGTCTTCGAAGAGCGAAGAGAAGGAGAACGTGCCGGCTGACGACACGTCGTCGGTGGAATTGCGCCGTGGAGCGAAGAACAGCGCTTCGAACAACGCCGTTCACAACAAGTTCAGCTTCTTCAAGTGGCGTCCTTCGAGCCTCATAGAACGTCGAAAGAGCAGCGTGGGAGGCGTCAAGTTGCGCAGGAGCTTGATGGAGACCACGAGCGCTCCACCTCCAAGAGAACGCGGCGCCGTCATTCGGCAGCCGTCGTTCGCGGCTCCCAGCGCACTCAAGTTCTTGATATACTTGTCTAAGCTATTGGAAACCAGCAAGGAGAACCGTGAAGCTTTGGACGAAGCCGGCATGATCATCGGCTTCTGTTCCCTGCTGCTGTCCCTGGTATCCTTCAAGACGAGGACTCAGGTGGAGTCGTACTTCCGAGACAGGGTTGGCGGAGTACTCTCGACCGTCGTGCCATCCGCTTCCTTCAAAGGCGTGGTTCCCGTCCCAAACCGCCGCTTCCTGGAGGTCCTCCACGAGCAGCTGACCCGAGGCTCGCAGCTTCAGACTCATATCAGCGTGCTCGCCGTCTGCCAGTACCTCTACTTCAAGGAAGCTGGAAACGGTAAGTTTCCTGAGCTCGACATGCGGTTCCTCAAGGAAGGGTACCTGAATCACACGATCGGAACAGGACTCGGAACAGTGTCCCTGCTGCGAGCCCTCCAGGAGAAAACCAAGCTGAACCCTGCCGCCATCCTAAGATTCCTCAACTCAGACGTCACTCGCGAATCGTGTGAACGTGTCGAGGAGTTCCTCAAGCACCAGAAGTCCCTGGCTGCGAAGAAGAACGCCGGCAAAACTTTTGGCAAGCTTACAGCGCAGCAGCAGCAGCATACGTGGCCATGGTGCCGCGTCATTGACCAGAGGCAGTTCTCGAACCTGATGACGAGGGCCAATGCGTTCTATGCCGTGCGGGTCGTCTGCTGTCTGAACCCGCCGCCGGAAGACCGGATGTGGAAGTGCGTTGAGTTCGTACCGGAAGAGGTGAAAAAGCACGAACGCGAGTGGGGAGAGATGTTCCGGCGCCATCTGAAGGATGGCAGCATTCGCAAAGCGAGCGATTCTATGCTCAAGCACCGCGAAGGCGAGTGGGCGCGAGCTCTGGAGGCCATGTACTTCGTGGAGGACTTCGAGCTTCTTTCTGTCGGCTCGTACAAGAAGGGAAAGACGTCGTCAACAGAAGTCGACGGTTGCGGAAGGGAAGAGACAGCGCCTGCCAAGATGGTGACAATGGCAGGTACTGCGTAGCTGAAATCACTTTCAAGAAACTGTGAACTAAAACGAGTCAGGTTTCGCTCAGTTGCTACTCCTTTCGGGAGCTGAAACTCTGCGCACTATGAACCTCATCGCCATGCGCAAACTCTCTTGAGGCGCTAACCGCGCAATCAAAAAAGGAGGAGGACTACTACGTATACTTCGCCAATGGCAACTTCGGCGTGTCGACCATTCGCAAATATGCAACATGATTCGTCTGAGTTCATACGTTTTGTCTTGCCCACATGGACTTAGTACATCGTGTTTTGACTGTGTTGGGAATCGAAGATGTGTCAGGCGTAACTCCTTCCAGTGGAGTTGCGCTCAACTGAGTGGCTGTCGTACGCGTAGGTCAAGCGTTCAATGGTTGTGTGATTAACTTGCGTGCACTTATTGAGTGCGTTTATTTTCTAACCTGTATAGCCGTGCCTATAGGTACGAATATAGACGGAGGTACAAAGCCTTGCGTAAGCCAATAGCATGCCGTTTACATCTGTCAATCTGTCTAACATTCCGCATCGACTATTTTGATGTTGTGTTTTCCTACGGTCACGGAACTCTTGCGCCGCTGCGTTTATGCTCAGATGGCTAATGGTTTGGGTCGTTTTGGTTTAAAGTGCACTGTGGCTTCAGCATGAATAATCCTCCGCAATTGCAAGAAACGATGGCGACCGTGTTATGTGCAGCATGCGTAATCAAGATGAGCACGTTATCTTTCCAGGGTCATTTGTGCACTAATGTTAAAACAAGCTCGCATACGTCGTATACCGAATCCATGTTCGTCTTACAATATCGTTCAATGTTTCCGTGGGTTGTGGCCACGTGTGCAACTTGTAAACCACTTAATCGAAAGTCGTTGCACCTATGGCTCAGCAGGATTCCCACACCCTGGCATTGCCTTGGCATGGATATCTTCGTGTTCCTAAGGCGAGAATGTATTTGCGGGACGTGTCACCTGTCTAGCATATGTCAGAGTGGAGAGGAGGAGAAAGAACATAATATTAGTATTAAAACGAAAAAGAAAGAATAGAAAATGTTACATCGACAGCACACCATGAAATATTGGCTTTTAGTTCCAATTGCACGGCCAATAATTACATGGAGATTAATTACACAACCAAGACGAATCCGAACCATCTGCTAAAGTACGTGAAGAACATGCACCGTTACTCTCTTTAGGTGCATGCAGAGTGTGAATATTCTGGTCCAAGTTATGGTGTTGGCCAAACGCGCGAGAGCCCTTTCTAGTTTTCATTATGCATGCTGTGGTGCATGTTGCGTCGCCGTTGGGAAGTGGCCGGTGTCGCATTGTTGGCAGCTTCGCAATATATTGTAGAAATACGACGTACACGGTATGCGCTATATCGAAATCTTCAGCATTGCACTGTGCCTGATTGCTGTAGCTTGTCGGTCCTGCAGTTCCTATACGACACACAGCGCTGTCTTATGTGAAGCGCTCTCATAGCTATCGTTGCGAGCTGCATTCGCAGGGTACTGATAAACACACATATAGCCACATTTTTAATCGAGATACGTTATTTTTGTCATGACGCTTCACAGTTATACACGAGCCTTACAGATTTACGGACGTCGCTATTTTTAAAGTGAAGCGTGAAGTTGTAAAGCTATGGCTCGACGCTTATAGGTCACCGTTGCTGTACTTTTTCACAAACTGGACGACCTTCAGCGCAATGCAGGGTTAGTTATCACATTTGTAAAGATATGTATTGTAGCATTGAATGCGAGATAGCTGACCAAGCATTGCACCGGGGCACCTTTCTAGCTTAGCAGATTGTTCTGCAATTTTTTTTAGGACTTTCGTTAGCATCACTTCAAGGCGTTCCTCTCCCCCTTGACGTCACTTTACACTTTCTTCACGGTCATGCTTGGGTATCGTTATGACGCTTTCGCAGATGCCACTTTCAGGAACCGTAATCTGCTCTCAATTTCACTTCCGGTCCCGATTTCCGGTCTTCACTTCTGTGTCCTACTACCGGTTTCACGCACACCACCAAGCATTGCTGATTTTCTACTCCGGATTTACGATTAACGTGCGTCCAGTCTACGCTTCACACCCGGTTAAGATTCTGAAATAAGGCAATACGTTATGCTCAAATAACTTTTAATTAAAATTTAATGTACACTTATTAGCCTCTTTCGTATGCCACCTCAATGCCTCTACCTTTTCCCCACAATCACTCATGAATCACTCATGAATCACTTTCCACTTTAGCAAAACACGTCTTTGAAACGTTGCCATTATCGCGATCCTTCATTGGTGTGCTCGCTTTAGTTGTTCTGTAGACTCTCCATTGAGCAAAAGTGGTTATTCACAAAATGCTGGAGACATCCCAAATGCAACGTTTCCAAAGAACGCATGGAATGAGGAGAGTTCATCCCTATGACACGGCTCTATAGGCTGTAAAAGAGCCGCAGTGGTACTGTAATGGTGAACGCTTCGCCGCAAGTTCGATTTTTTTCTGTTCGGGTCTCGATTTTTTTGCTCGGATATTTTCTTCTCAGAGAGAGAGAGAGAGAAGGGGGGAGGAAACGCACCTGTGTCCTGGGACTTCCGCGAAGATTAATTCCAATCTTGGTACCGGTTCATTATACGCCGTTAAATTTATACTTTGTGATGCTTTTCATATTTAGAGTTACTCGGGTATATTTATGTGTTATGATATAAAGGTAAACATATCTCCCAAATGTACTAGTGCAATTAACTTTCACTGTCCATTCATCCAGTATTGATCCCCACTGAAGCTTGCCACATACTTGAAAAAAAAGCTAATTGAAAAAATTTCTTGATTCCCCAAGAAAATATACGTGGAAAACATACAGGCTCCCTATGTAAACATATGGAGTCATTGGAATGGCATACGGAACGTTTCGTGATGTGAATTTTACGTTAACAAACAATCTCTCAAAAAAAAAATCAAGAATTTAGTCTCCAACTTTGAGCTGCTAAGGGGTGCATGATGATGTTTCCTTGTGAAGGTGTCACTACAGTGGCATACAAATACGAAACACAGTGTGTGCAGATTTCTGCATTTTTTCGTGAAGTGCGTACAGCTGAAAGTTGGAGGTTACTCTCGGGTACAACCATATCCTGTCTCCTGTCGTACGTACTTCGATTGATATTTTTTTTTAATATAAAAATTCACAGGGTCCTTCAAGCTCTCACACTGGAAGGCGAAAGCAATCTTTTCTTCTCGGTCAATTGCATTGATCCTGCTGCGTCACCCTAAAGTTTTCTACACTTAATGTAGTTTTCCGCTGTATGAAACCAGGCGCCTCACCTGGTTTTATGCTGCCTCCATGATCAGTCCACCTTTGACCCCGCTATACGATATGTCATGTGATGACGTCAGCTTGTGACGTTACGATGACATCGTAAAAAAATAGTTTTGGTGATACGTCATGTCGCGATCATGTCGTTTGTCATGATCACGTGATTTTTTCCATTGCTCGTATTGACGCCGCCAACGGTGGAGGCCGAAGCCGGTGAATTTTCGTTTTGGTGAGGATTCAAAAGCCTTCACCTTAATACATGATAAATTCACGCGTGTATTAATAACTTTCTTTCTCCGGTGACACTTCTTTGCACCTAGACACCACCTCCCTACACTCGCCACTGTTACGTTATAACATTCCGTTTCTTCGATGTCACCTACAAATGGAGACTTTTTGTTGTTTTGTGTGTTCCACAAATCAGCGAGTGCATTCTGCACACCCGCTGCCTTTTCCAGCCATTCGGCGTGAAACGACGCACCAGATGCAATAAAGTGTTATTTTTTTCACCAACTATCCGGCTATGTTTGCATTGTTCGATCAGGGGCAAGTTACCCGAACTTGAATTTGCTGATACTCAGAGTATGAAAGAAGTGAGCTCTTCGAGCAGCGAGATCGTAGTAAATTTTCACAGCGAAAGTGTCTTTGTGGAACCAAGTGCCATCGGCGTCCGCCATACATGACGATCGCTAAAACTCACGTGATCTACCGCGTAAAGCGTGTGAAATCGACGATCCCAGCCTTCAAAGACACGTACGCAAGAAGAGTATATAGTGAGTAGTGACGATCATTCTCTTGTGTGCCTGTCTTCGAAAGCTGCGATCGTCGATTTTCCAAGCTATGCACCGAGAGGCCCGGCACCATCACGCTTCCGCGTACAGAAGGCGCGACTGAAGTGGGAATAAAGAAACGAAACGAAGTTTCGGCAGGTCTCGCGCATTATGGGAATCGATGTTATGCGAAGACGTGAGGGAGTTGCAGCCCATGCCGGATGTTTCAAATGCGGTGACGTCCACTTACAGATCACATGTGACGTGGCCACGCTCAAAATCAAGTGGTCAATATAGACCTATATATACAACAAGGTAGGCAATACTCAAAACCGGGTTAAAATAAACGAACAAGGCCTAAAATAATATAAATGCAGAAACAACCGAGAAGTGAATAATGAAATTAATATCGCTGAGGAACCCTTCGGAAACACGTGGCTGACCCACGCGCACGATTGCTCCTCCTCAAAACCACACGTGTCCGTTGCAGTGCGCGTTGAACATAGCGTTCTGCCTGACCGTTCGTTGCAGGGTGGTGCGCTGATAAGGTTGCAGCCTGTATGCCCCTTGACGCATAGGACTGCTTCATCTCGTTGAAGATAAATCATTTTCCGTCGTCGGAGATGACCTTTGAGGCATAGAGTTTCCTAATATACACTAGAGGGAACTCTGGCGCTAGTGTCTACGGGAGCTGCAGCGCACGGCGCTTCAGCGAGCTTAGGAATGATGGGTAGTACACACATTTGTCAAATCTTCGTACTTCTGGCCTGCTTCTGGCTCCGTGTGTGTTCGTGTTGCTTGGAGTTGTTTTCTCGCAATACAAAAAGCAGCACATGTTCAGCGGTTGCGTTTCACCACCTTATTTTAGGGGCGAAGCTCCTTAGGGCGTGGGCTGTGCGTCCCCTGTAGCCTGTATGTAGCCACCTCTAGTTTAGTTCTTGCAGTGTTCACTAGATGGCGGTACCGTCCCCTGTATGTAGCCACCTCTAGTTTAGTTCTTGCAGTGTTCACTAGATGGCGGTACGGTCTCCTGTATGTAGCCACCTCTCGTTTAGTTCTTGTAGTGTTTACTAGATGGTGGTACTTGTAGCTGATGATGAAAAGATGCAAGATGTTATAAACTAGAAAGCGGTACTTGTAGTTGATGAAAGACGCGAGATCTTATAAAATAGGAATGATGTCACATATGGCGCGTGTCATTGGTTGAAGGCAATCGTTCGATTTAGTGCGGCGACGTACGCTAGCGGGAGCGTTGTAATAAAATCCGTTCGCTGTCGGCGCGCGCTCGGAGTCGCCGGATGGATAAGGCTGCACAGCGGAGAGAGCGCAAGGCGGCAGCAGCGCGCGCTCGCAGACAGAATCCCGATGTGCGAGCGCGCGAGGCAAGGGACATCGCAAGCCATCCATCGTCTAAGAACAAATAAAAGTTGATCTGTGTATATACACACAAAGCGTTTCTCACGTCTTTACATGATGATCGACTGGGCGAATTACACGGAAGATTCACAGTTTACCGATGAATCCCTCCGGAGCTTCGCCCATTCATCATCATTCACCCCGTGAATATGCCGTAATTTTTTTTTAAAGCTTACCTTTTCAAATCAGGTCACAAAGCTCAAAAGGGCTCGTTCTTTTCTTCAAAACGAAACCGTAACCAGCAATAAACGAAGCCGCAAGTACGATTCACCGCCCGCAAGTACGAAGACTATAGACAAATGTGTGTACTACCCATCATTCCTATGCATGGTCGCTGAACGATCGTAGCGACAGAGCACCCTCTAGTTATTTTAGGAAACTATGCTTTCAGGGAATGCCTAACAGTGCAGAGAGGCTCAGACAGCCACGGATGTTGCTTCCATCACGTGCCGGATTTCCACCCACTTTGTGTAGGCGCACACAACAACTAAGTAGGCGCGCCCGAGTAGTGGCCCCGCGAAGTCAACGTGCACTGTGTTCCATAGTGTTTGGGAACGCTCCCAGGTAGGAATAGGAGCTTCAGGTGGGTTCTTTTGCACTGAATGGCATTCACGACATTGTCGCACCATTTCTTGTCAATAGACCGATCCCACAGGCCAGTTTCGCGACGCCACCGCTGCCGCGGCAGCCGCGGTGCATGCCGGTACTTATAGTCGTCCGGGCGCACCAGCCAGCCGAAGTGCCTGAGCGTTCCCTTTTCGATAGATTTTTCGGTCGTGTGGAGCCGTCTTACGATGGGAGGATTTTCGTGCTGTGTTCCTGGATGCTACAACAACAGCACAAGGGATAAAGACTTGGGTTTCTACGTCTTTCCTAAAGAGCAAAAGCTTCGGGAGACGTGGATTCAGCGTATCAACAGGCTGGACGGGGCGGCAGGTAAGCTCCTTGCGCCCTTCATGGTAACCATGCCTCTGTGACCAGCGTGAACAAGTGCCAGAACATGCGATAGTGCTGAGCTCGGTATGATCACTCGTGATTCAAGTGCGATGTACTCGCGATAAAATGCTAGTGCGATTGCTCGTCGTCGGCAAGGAGCAAACTCATCTCCATTCAGTTTCTCCACTGTGTCATCCTGCACCGCCTTGTACAACCTCTGCAGGATGCTGTCTTGATTTGTGAGGCGTGCTATCTCAGTAGCACTAAATGGAACTTCGAATACTAGAACGTCGCCTGTAGGCCAGGGCTCGTCGGGACGTTCTTGTAATGGCAATCGGCTCAACGCATCCGCGTTTCGGTGGTTTTTGACATGCCTGTAGATTATGCTGTATATTCCTACGCCGATAAGTCGATCTAGTCATCGGTAGAGAAAAGACGTGAGGCGTTGGCGTTTGTGGATCTAATATGCCGAGCAGTGGTTGACGGTCAGTGATGAAAGTCCCGTTTCTTAACTGCAATATACTTGTGGAACTTGTGGGCTGCAAACACCACAACAAGGCCTTCTCTGTCCAACTGAATACAATTGCGTTCTGTCGGCCCTAGCGTCCGAGATGCAAAAGTGATTGGTGCTTCTCTATTCTGGTCATCACGTTGAGACAGAACAGCTCCTATGCCGTATATGGTGAAGCGTCACAAGAGACAAGAAACTCCTTCTGTTCGTCATAGTGCACCAGTGCGATCTGACTCAGCAGCAAAGCTTTAAGCTTGTCAAATGCTTCTTCATGCTTTGTCTCCCATCTCCACGTGGCGCCCTTCTGAAGGAGCTGCGAGAGACAGCTGGCAACTGTTGCCCTGTTTTTCAAGAATCAGTCGCAGAAAGCCAGCAACCCAGTGAAAGGATTGAAGCGCTCGTTTGCACTTTGGCGTTAAAGCGTCCTTTGTGGCACGAACTTTCTCTTCGTTAGTGTGGGCGCCTGTCTCGTCGATTCGGTGTTCCAGAAAAAAAAAAGAACTTGTCGCGCCGAAAAGCAGCTGTTCGTTTTGCCGAGGCGAAAGTTGTGCTTCCGTTGCCTCTTCAGCACATCTTTCAGTCTCTCGGCGTCGTTTGCGGTCTTACGTGGTTCCTAATTGGTAAAAAACGATGAACAATATCCTCTGAAGGGGCCAGTGACTTGACATACCAAGTGCCGCGTACCTTAGTTGAGGCGATTCAGCCCAAACACGAAAACTTTTGGCATTGCTTTTCTCACGTATTAATGAACTATGGGGGTGAAATTAACGGACATAGCGTTTTTAGGGTATCATTTATTGTATTATGAAGAAGGTATCGCCAGCGTGCGTGCGTAGACGTACTAACACACACACACACACACACACACACACACACACACACACACACACACACACACACACACACACACACACACACACACACACACTCTCTCTCTCTCTCTCTCTCTCTCTCTCTCTCTCTCTCTCTCCAGAAGACCCTGTGCTTTCTCAGAAAAGCGTACACGTCATCCGCAAGAAGCGTTCACGTGCAAAAACAACCGCGGTGTTGTTCTCGTTCGGCGTGCCTTTCCGTGACACCAGAAACAAAAGCGATTCCGAGGTGCAAGCAGGGACGCATCGACGGGGAGGGCTGGTGGTCGTCTCGCGTAACAGCGAACGGGGCGACGACCTCACCGGGAACGTCGTCGTCTCGGGTGTCGCGTGTGTGGCGCTCGACGACGCGCGAAAAACTCCGCCACGACGAGGCTCGCATTCCTCGCAGAACGCCTCGACTCTCACGCAGTGAACACAACGCGCGAAAAATTTCCAACGCATGAAAAAGATAACGTACTGTTCCCGACGTCGAGCAACCGGCTCTGCTTTCGTAACACCCAATACAGGCGTCATGTTGGGCAAGAAATCGCGCTAACCATTCTAGTATAGCGTGTGAGGAGGGTAAAATAACCAGTGATCACACAACTATACGCAACGCGTGTTCAGCACAGATGGTCTTGCTCCAACACGAAGCTGGGCTCAGAACTTGCATTGGGCATCGTAATCGTTGGTGATTTTTTTCCACCTCTAGTAGATAAGAAGAGTCTGTTGGACGAGTTGGTATTTCATTATTAAGGAAATCGCGTGGAAAACGTAGACGTGAGAAAAGTAGATAAGCGCACCTCCTTGCACATGAGTTGTTTCAGAGGGGCAGTGCGCAGGCACTGACAGGAGAGACTCCTTGGCTGAACATTGTCTGTAAGCTTTACCCTTACTTTAAGCTTCACCCTTACTATGCTTACTTATCTCATGTCACAAATGTGGCAGTTTAACCACCTATCATGCATGCTCTGGGAGTGTGTATGGTACGAGGCACTGATCGGCCAGCAAGCGGACCTCCAGAGTTCG